GGACTGTTCGTCTACCTTCGCCAAAATTAGTAAAATTTATTTTCAATTATTTGAAATTATTTTTATTTTTTTTAACAATATAGAAAGAAACGGTTCAAGGGATCTGAAAGTTCAAACTCACTGGATGGTGAATCATGAATTAAACAACGATTACCTTTAAACTAAAACAATGTGAGCTAGTAAAAGTTTCGCAAAAATCAAAACTTCTCAAGTATGTATTGATTTTTACTACCCACACTATATATTTTAAAGATCCTGTTATATTTTAGGAATACAGACTGAATTTCACATTTCAAGATTTATTGCGGAATGTAAATTAATTTCGAACTGGAGGAAGCAAAATTTGGAGCATCAATTGATAATATCTACCCTATGTACTGCAATGTTTCTCAGTTATATTATTATGCAGGTAAGATCATATCTTCATTCACATATTTTCCTCAAATTTATCACAGGTATTTATTTAATGAATTCGTCTCAGAAACAGAAGCCAAAGGAATGAACACTTTCGTAGGGACCTTTTCTCTACCTTCCTTGATATTCATGTCGCTGGCTGAGTTAGATTTAAGTTCAGTAAACTGGATGTTCCTTTTATCTATATTAATATCAAAAGTATATTTTTCTCTGATAATTGTAAACAATTGTTTATTAGGAGACCAATTGAATCTGGGAAGAGCTGGAATATTTTATGTTTGTACACAAAGCGCTGACTTTGCCATAGGATACCCTATAGGTTAGTTCAATTTTAACTGTTACACCAGTATTTTAAAGTCAAACAATGTTTTTAGCGTGGCTGTATACTATCCAGAGCCTCTTCTACCAACTGTTGATGGCGCCTAAGTTTGGCAGCAATTTTAAACAGTATCTTTGTGTAATGGAAGTGGCAAAAACATGCTATGACGAAGAAGAAGCTCTGCTTGTTGAGGGGAATCCCAGCATAAACAATGGAGTTTTCTTACACAAAAAGCGGTTCAAGATGGTGATTGTCATAGTGAAAAATATATTTTTTAATCCCATTATTCTCATGACTATTCAGGGCATTGTGGGAAATTATATGTTTAAGCATGTTGTACCACTGTATCTAGCTGGAGTCCTTAATGTAAGTTTTGTTAATTTATTATTTTAGCTATTAAGTTCTTTGATATATAGTCTATAAAATATGAATAATACTGAATTTTGACAAATTGACCTGCATAACAGGGCAAATATAAATCTCTCAAAGAAATTAACAAATTGAGTGCATGAATGAATCAGATAGGTAACTCTTTTTACTTTCGTGTAAAATAAGAAAATAATAAAACAAGTGACAGTTCTTACTCTTCTTCCAAAAATCAATACGAAATGTCATAATTGACAAAATAAAAGTATCATCAGCTTTTGACATTTCAAAAATATTAGACCACTATATTCTCATGAACAATATAATTCAAGATTTATGACTCGTCACGCTAGTTAGATACTAGGATTAATAAATATGGAAATACATGGACCTATAATTTCGTATTTTGGTTTACCAAAATAGTTTACTTCAAAATATACATAATATACAGTTAATAAATACATAATATATCTATATTTATAGTAATAAATACTTTGGCAAATAAACTATGAACAACACAAATGCAGCAAATGTTTACAATATTCCGCAAATAATGAATAGGTGGTACATAAGATAATGGATAAAATGCAAAATATATTTTAAATTTTGGGTTTGAAAATCGATCTAATTTAACAAAAACATTCAATATAATAGTGATGTACAATTTATTTGCCTATTATAATGTTCTGCAATTAATCAGCAACCTAAACTTGTCAAAAGATTACCACATGTTTTTAAATTATTATTCTTAACACAAAAACTATCTACATTGACTATGGAGTACGATTTTAGCCATATTGTAAAACATTTGCTGCATTTCATAGTTTATTTGCCATAATATTTATTACTATAAACTATATATATATATATATATATATATATATATATATATATATATATATATATATATCTATATATATATATATATATATATATATATATACTCATATATATATATATATATATCATAATAAAGATGGGTAGTCTACGCGACTGACTGGTTGAGAAAAATATTCAAACAGGTGTCTTGGGGATGCAGTCTAATAAGAAGGCCGTTAGTTCAAGTAAAACCCTTTATTGTTTAGTCAAGCTTTCGAGAATTCAGTTGTTCTCTTCTTCAGGACTCTTCAAAACTTTTCTTTTATGATAATTTATCAAGTTGTCTAATGCCTATTTCCCCGTGTAGCATTGATGTTATATTGCGCATGGTCGATCTTGATGAAACAGAAATAGTTGTCAAAATATTTCTATGTAGTTGTTTCTCTTTCACTCTTTTTAATATATGCATAAGTTTATCCTTACTTATCAAGAGTAACATATTTTACCTTTTTTTGAAACTATGGTTTCGTTGAGAGTGACGATCGGCGGTGCTAACCTCAAGCCTCTTACTTTACAAAGAAAATCTTGAAAATTAATTCGTTTCTTTGTCTTTTAATTATTTACAATAAAAAAAAATAATTAGATCGTTCATGAAGCAAAGTCAATTGCTATTTTATTTTAAGATTTTGATTTTTTTTTTTTTTTTTTTTTTTTTTTTTTTTTGTATTGTTTTTTATAAAGTTTTGTAGTTAGTTTTCACGTTTATTTTAAAAGTTGATTTTTACTACTGCATTTGAGAAATGAGGATTCTTTTGATTGTTGAGCAATGTTGCAAACTTTACCATAATCCCACTTTGGTGAGTTGCATTTTAATAGTTTTTTTTTTTTTTTTTTTGTATTTAATTACTATAATGGTGAAGAAGAGTCCTGAAGAAGAGAACAACTGAATTCTTGAAAGCTTGACTAAACAATAAAGGGTTTTTCCTTGACTAACGGCCTTCTTATTAGACTGCATCCCCAAGACACCTGTTTGAATATATATATATATATATATATATATATATATATATATATATATATATATATATATATATGCCACCATATATATATATATATATATATATATATATATATATATATATATATATATATATATATATATATATATATATATATATATATATATATATATATATATATATATATATATATATATATAACACTCTCTCTATATATATTGTATTTATTAACTGTATATTATGTATGTTATGTAAACTGCATCATTTTTAAAATACAAACTAAAAATACGAGGAATAATTATGTTTTCCATGTATTCTACAACATATTTATTAATCTGTAATATCTAACTAGCTTGACGTCATAAATCTCGCCCGAAGCTGTTCTATTAGAGACGGCATTGCGTCAGCATAGCCGCAAGTTGCTAACCTAATAAAGTTAACACTAATAAAGCCCGCGGGAACTGTCAAATTCAAAGTTATTCGTTTTACAGACTATACATATATTCTAAGGATGAGTCAAAATTAAGTGCAGTATTTTTCTTAATTCTTTCAAATGAAACACCTGGTATTTTGTATCACAAATCAACAGGGACATTTGATGTTCTTGGATATACATAATATACTAAATCATATCATATTTTTTTCCACTATTTCAAATGGAACACCCTGTATTTTGTATCATAAATGATCAGAGACATTTTACTAAGTATTTGCTATACCTAAATCGATATTTCTATAGAATATAATTGAAATTTTCTATCCTTTTAATATCAAAGTAGGATTTTTTTTGTTTTGCCACTGAAATTCTGTATTCAGATACACAAAACAATATCTTTGATACAATTTTTTGTTATTCTAAGTATATTAGTGTACATTGTAAAAAATGTACTGAATATTGTACAAAAATATTAGGAAGATACATCCCTTGTTTCTAGATAATCATATTCAGAAAATTTAATTTAATAATTAAATTTATTATATTTTGTTTGGAAAGAAATAAAAGCACTTGCTTAATTCAAAATTATTTTTTTTCAACATTATGATAGCATATAAAAAAATATATTTATTTTTTTTTATATCTTCTTTTTCAAAAAATAAAATAAATTGAATTTTAATTAAAAATATTTCAGGTGTTAGGCTCTGCGTTCTCAGCTAGCGCCCTCTTTCTTCTAGGACTCAGAATGGTCGGAAAAATCCATAAATTGACTGGAGCTACTTTAGTCGTTCCCGGTATATTGATCATGGTTAAATTGTAAGGCTCTTAACAACGGTCTACATATACAGGGACGTTCAAAACAAACTTGGTTTGCCTAGAATCTATCTTTATAAAAAAAATTCGCGTTTCTTTTGAAACGCCCTGTATATTTTTACATTTTTATTATTTTTTTCTAAAAAACTTATTTTAATACTTGCAGAATCGCCTTGCCATTGATTACCAGAGAAGTTATTAGTGTTTTACATGCGGGATATAACAGTTCAGAAATTTTAGATTTAAGTACTTACGGGTTCTTTTATGGTACCTTTCCTTCAGCCCCTGGCGTCTTTGTTTTCGCCACCCAGTATATGGTGGACGTCGATTTGGTAAGTTAGTTACATTTAATTGTTCGTTATTTCTTTCAGGCAATATAATATGATTAAATTATTTTTTTTTGCATATTTTTATCTGCATTATACCGGGTACGTCTCAAAAGTGGCCCACCCTATCACTTTTTTTATTTTTTCAATAAAACAACGAGATTTGTATGTTTAGTATTGGAATATAATTGGAATGATTTTGACGTATTCAATTGTTTTCGGTCACTTCCGCTTTCACCGGAAATGACTAACAACTTTTGATTTTTATAATGGCACTCGCTCGGTATTTTTTTCTTTATTCGATAGAAAATGACACTTTGATATCGAATGACATAATCATATGTCAATTTTTGACATAGTCACTCAAAAACAATTCCATTTTAAAATTTCAATCTAACAGTGCCATGGTGTGTTAAAAACACTATTTTTAATCAAGGAGCCTTGAAAATAGATTTGATCGTCTAATGTTTTTAATGTCTTGTCCTGGCTGGTTAAGAGATGCCTCAATGATCGTATTTTTAATCATATCTCAATTTTTTTCAAATGGAACGAAGGGGGCTCATTATAGTGATCAGGGCCCAAAACTGTTATTTTAGATATTTTTTTTTTTTTTTTTTTTTTTTTTTTTAAAAACAAGCTTAAATTAACACTTAAAAATAACAGGTTTTCTTTATTTACTGCTAAATATCTGAAAGAGTATGAGACGGTCACGCCAGGCGTATTAACGCAACGCAGTTGCAAGTTGCAACATATGATGTGCTCGGTGGTAGTATTCCCAGGGTGTCAAAACATTTCAAAATATCGATTGTTATCTAAAATACCTCTCTAAAAACGGTTGGTTGTTTACAATAAGCGCTGTTTTGACAAATTGCAAATATAAATAAAGCCATTAATTCCGCCACTCGTCTATACCTATTCATTCCGATCTACCTACGCCCTGCCCTCGATCCGCGTAGATCCTGATTTGCGTAGCAGTGTACAGGGTACATCTCACTCAACGGGCGAGAAGCTCTTAGTTATGATTTAACCATTTGCGGTCAAAAAAATAGGCAATATAAGAAAATGTGTAGTATATTCTTAATAAGTAAACCAACTACACTCTAGAGTTCGAATTAATTATATATTATTAATATATCACCTAAACTAGCGTGTACCCGCGACTTTTGTTCGCGTCGAATTAATTAATCATTTGTAATTGGTGATGATAAAGCAAAAAAGAAAAATTTCCTCATTAACATACAAACTGGAAATAAAATTTTCTCACATTTGCCAAAAATTAGCTTTTAATCGTCGAGCAGTTTAAGCAGGAATCGTGTTAATCAATTAACTCAACTTTTTGGAACACCGCTGGTACTGATTTTTTAAAAAATTTCAAAAATCATGTAAATAAAAGGGAGGGACAAAATAAATTATGCGTGTCCAGTTGCTTTTCCCCCGAAAGACTAATCCTGTTTTTTTAAAAGTAACAAATATTGGTAATATTTGAGGGCGTTTTCACGCCTTGTTGGAATCTTGAGTTTCGAGAAACCGCTCCTTATTGAACCTCTACATCCCACAAGTCAATCCGTTTTGCAAAAAAATCAGTCTTTAAACGTCCAGCAGTTTAAGCAGAATAGTGATTATATCAACTGGTTCATAATTTTTATATATATAAAAAAAAAAAACATATTTTTAAAAAATCTTAAAATTATATGTAAAACACTAATAAACACTATACGTGTTTTTAAGCAGTTTTTCCGAAAAATCTTCACCAAGTTTTTAAATAAAAAATATTCTAATATTTCAGAGTAGTTTCACCCCCCTTAGAATTCGAGTTCGTAAAAATCCCTTCTTTATCGAACCTCTACAACTACTAAAGTCAATCCGTTTTCCAAAGAATCAGCTTTTTTACGTCAAGAAGTTTAAGCAGATCGTGATTAATCAATGAACCAGATTTTTCAAAAAACACCCTGTATACTTTTTTTAAAAAATCTGAAAATATTTTCTAAAAATTTTTCAGAATAAATAATACTATAATAATTGAAACTTAATAATAAATACTGAACAAATACAGCCGCCATAATATCTCGAACTCCGTCCGTTATGCTCGTAACGGGTTGAAACAGAATGTATCTAAAACAAGTGATGGCGTTATTCCCCAACCTGTTTCGAACATCCATCGACAATCGATACCGGATGCAGCAGCGTTCCTTTCCCATTCCTATTATCTCGACCGCCGCTTGTTATGCTCGTAACAGGTTGAAAAACAACATATCTAAGATGACTGCTTCTCCACCCGTTGCGAGCCTCCATCGACAATCGATCGATGCAGCAGCGTTCCTTTCCCACTCCTGTTATCTCCATCGCCAGGCTTTATGCCCGCAACTGTTTCAAAAAACCTGCTTCTTTATATCCTATTATTTTTAAGCATGGTACAAAATCGACCATCGACGGTATCGCCCGAAGCAGCTACGTTCGCCGTAGCGCTTTCCCCACTCCGTTGTCCGTTGTCTCGCCGCTTGTATCGATGGTTGTCGAAATAACAATGTTTTCCAATCCATACTAATTGTTTTTTGGAATTGCTTCGAGCAGCATAGAATTTCGTGGTGATGCAGAGCGCCGACTTCGTTTTTCGTTTCACGAGCGGGCGATCTCTACGTGTCGTTATTTTATATCTGTTATTTTTTAGAAGTAGTAACGGTTGCGTTATGTTATTTATAAATAATTGTTATAAAATAACAGATAGTTAAATAACAACCCATCACTAGTTCATTAGCATCGAATAAAGTAAAAAAATAACGAGGGTGCTATTTTAAAATTAAAAGTTGTAGTCATTTCCGGTGAAACCGGAAGTGACCGAAAACAATTGAATACGTCATTCAATCCCAATTTATGTCATATACTGACATACCAAATCTCGTTGTTTTATCTGAAAAAATAAAAAAGTTATAGGGGTGAGCCACTTTTGAGACGCACCCGGTATGCTGCCGAAGTTTCCGGAATACAGTTCGGACTACCCTGTATAACACCATACACTAAATAAATAAATCTATATCCTGGGTTATAATATTTTTTGAGACCTTTAAACTCATGCGCATTAATAGCTATAATAGACATTTAAAATTATTTTAGATCGCTAGTGCCATGGTCGCGTGCACTTTCCTTAGCGCACCTCTGATGTTTGTCTCGGCAAAAATGATCACAATAACCAACTGCGACCCCTCGGAATATATAAAGCAACTGAATCAGTTCACTTTTGACGTCAGCATAGTGGGAATAATCGCCTGTTTTTGGATCGTTTTGGTTTTCATTTTGACCAAAAAAATCTCGAAGTTACCCCACAAAATTACCGCTTGCTTGATCATATCTCATGTAAGTTAAAACTTGCAGCGTTGTAAGTAGATTTTATAGTAAATATATATATTTTTTAGTTTATCAGTTGTTTAGGCGCTGTATTATGGTACGCCATGCAACAAGACGAGAATAGTCGCAGTTATCTACAGTTTTCTCTATTTACTATTGGCGTTTATAGTTCCAGAATATGGACTGGAATTTTATCGATAACTCTCTTGTTTTTACAGTGTCGAAGTTTGTGTTTCGTCTTGAAACTTCAACCGATATTTTTCTCTATTGGATGGGGGTAAAATATAAAATTATACACGTCTATTTCATAAAAGATGATGATTCAAAGTCTACACTATTTACTTCAGACTTGATATCTCAAAAAAACTGTTGTTTATAAGTAACATTTTGAACTGTTACTGCTTTGGAACTGTTACTCACTTAACAAAGTAGATATGGACAAAACTGTTATTTGTAAATATTAGTTATAACTGTTATTTGTAATAATAAATACTTCGTCACTGCTTTGGAACTGTTACTTGCAATAAAATTAGATATGGCAAAAACTGTTATTTCTAAATAACAGTGGGAACTGTTATTTAATAATCTTTTTTATATATGGACAAATCTGTTATTGGAACCGTTATATCTAAATAACATTTGGATCGGTTCTTTGGAACTGTTACTTAATAATATATTATATAATGGAAAAAAAACTGTTCTAAATAACGTCGTGGTATTTATTGCATTACTTCCACTGCATAGTTGGCAGGTTTAGTGAATTTTCCCTAGATTTAAGGAAAAATTGAGGGTTGAAAGTTGAAATCGATTTATTGAAGGTATTTGTTGATCTATAATCAATCATCTTTCGTGAAATAGAGTATATATTTTTATGATTTATTCAGATTCGATTTTTTTTTAATTTTATTCTTTTTAGAGTGTCCGTATTGATTTCTGTAGGTCTGTTGTTGTTGGATAAATCAAAGGACTCGTTTGACAAAAAAAATCCTAATTTTACATATGGCGCCCCTCAAGCTGTAGTGGCGGTGTCTCTTCTGGTTTTATGCTTTATTGGTAAGATTTTATATAAAAATCATGATTTTTCTAGATTTAAAAACCTTGAGAAAGGACAAATCATTTTCATGAATATCTTCATATAATTATTTTTGTTTAATAGTTACAGCAGGCTGTTTGGTACTTCACCAACGATACAGAAGGAGATTTAGTTATTACATGGATCTGAGTAATGAAAGAGGCGTACAAAATCCTCTACAAATTGAGGAGGGTGAGCCAAAAAAATATTTTTTGCTTTTTAAAATTAAGAAAGTGTAATTTAATGTAATTTTCAGAGAGTTCTCTTCAAGAAGCATCACAGACATCTTCAGTTTCTGAGGACGTTTCCCAGAACATTTCTAAATCGAAGTGTTGCGGGTTGCCTACAATTAAGGAAGGTTGCTGCGAGGATAAAGAAATTACCAGTCCAGTGGTTGATATTGAAGATTTGGGAGTGGATAAAGCCAGGTATGTATAAGAAAAAATGTTTTAATATATTAAATCTAATATTGGTACTATATTTTTTTAGTAGTATAATTCACAGAAAACCAGTTACAGAAAATCAAAACGGTAATGTAGAGGGTGGTTCTGTACCATCCAGTGAAAGTTGTTCTACAAAGTATGGTTGTGAAGGACCTCAAAAGGAAAGTTGCAGGTAAAAGGCTTTTTATAAAGAACACATTTATTTTCACTCTGTATATTGAATATTTGAAATTAATAGTTTAAAAAGTAATGGTATGTGGGAGAGGATTATATTACCAATTTTTTTTACTTAAAATATTTTATTCTAGGAGCTATATATGCTCGACGCACTATTATTGCCTGACCCTGTATATTAAAACAGGGCAAGCCCGACCCTGGTACAAAGAGATTAGGCGGTGTTATTCCGTCGCCGTTGCCAGCTTGTCTCTTTTAAATGTAAAATATCAGAATTATTTCTTCTTTATATGTGTACCTGATTTTTTTTGAACGTCTATTTTTCTAACGCAGAGCTGTGGTTGGTCAGTACCAACAACCAATCGACGAAGATCTAGAGCCAATTGAAGAAGAGCCAGAGTCACACGATCCCCAAATTTTGAGACACACAGTGTTGCTCATACTGTTGCTCTGTAGTATGTTTGTTGTAAGTCGAAATAAAAATTAAAAAACACTTATGATCGAAAAAAAAACGGCGTCACAGACAGTAATTTTGGGCGAGGCCAATCTCTATAGAAAAAAAATTGCTAATTTTAAACCATACCATTTAAAAATCATTTTTACTCAATACCAAAATAAATTACAAAGTTCTTAAGGCCAACTTAAGACGTCTAGGACTTAACCTCGCCAAGATTATCATCGATTTTTATTCTCCCAGCTGTCTATGACGCCGTTTTTTTTTTCTCGATCGTACGTTACACGTTTCTTTATCGAAAATTCAAATGTACAGGGTCTGGCCCTTTCCATATGGACGTTAGTGATGGAACAGATCTCTGGAATATATATTGAGCTGTCCTTCCTGGATGCCATCCTGAATTTTGGCCAAAGCGTCATTGTTTTTATAATTTTTGGACTCGATGTTAAAGAAGTAGCACTTCCTATTATAAAGTATTGGAGAAAAATATGGTACGGCGCAAATACACTCAGCCTGCCAGCTTGGGATGAACTGGGATCTGATACTAAACATATCTGTGATCAATTCATCTCGCATCACTTGCAGAACTGTAAATCTGCCATTGCTACTGATAGAAGGTACGTATTTCTTTTTTAAAAAATAATATTGTTTATATTATCATTTACAATGTCTGTTTTTATATAATTCAAGTTTTTGAATGTGGAAATGTATGTTATTTTACTGTAGAAAACTGTTATTTCTTAGTAACATTTGGAACTGTTACTTAATAAATTAGATATGGACAAAACAGACTGCTAAATAACAGCTGGATCTGTTACTTCTTTGGAACTGTTACTTAATAGTAAATTAGATTTGAAAAACCTGTTATTTGTAAATAACAGTAGGAACTGTTACTTCTTTTGAATTATTTCTTAATAATAAATTAGATACGGACAAAACTGTTACTTGTAAATAACAGTTGGATTTCTTACTTCTTGGAACTGTAATTTAATAACAAATTAGAAATGAACAAACAGTTGCAACTGTTATTTCTAAATAACGTTCGATTTGTTCCTTCTCCTAAAAATTTGTATATAACGGTTTCAAGTATAGTATCATAATCTTGACAACGTTCTTTGTATTTCAGATGGCGTCTCACAGCCTACCATGACGTCTTTACCGGCAGTCAATTCATCGACTGGCTGATCGAAGTAGGCCTGGCTATGGACAGGGTCCAGGCAGTGAATTACGGGCGTCACTTGATTGAAGGCAAAGTATTGAAACATATAAACGGAGTGTATCATTTCTATGACAGGAATTTACTCTATACTTTTGACTAAAAGAAAAAAATTAGATAGGTTTTTTTAATTGAATTGACATCGAATTTTTTTAGTTATGTATATATAAAAGGAGTGGCATTATATATTATATATTTTTAGATGAAATGTTTACTACAGCGTTGTGATATATTTTTAAACGTTATGTGATTGTTTTTAGGTACCTAAATATCTAAAAAAAAAATAGTATAGATAAGTTTTTTGTTAGGTTATGTATTATTAAGGAGAAAGTATTTAAAATAATCAGTTTTATTTTTAAAAATGAGGAATATTAAGTGGATGTGCTTGTTTTTAATTGTGCTTGAATGTAATTTAAGGCTTATCCTACATAAATCCAAAGATATAATATTATAAACAGGCAGATACAAATTTTTAAGATATATAATAGATGTGAGTGATAATTGTTAATATTGTTATTGAAAATGTAAAAAAACATAATTGTTGAAGGAAGTCTGATTGGAGACAATATTGTGAATAAAATTTAAAAAATCTTGTTTCTTTATTACCCAATATACCGTATGATCTAAAAAACGGCGTCAAAGACAGCTGAGAGCGACAAAGTCTCGAATTTTAAATTACACGGTTCAAAAATCATTTTTGCTGAAAGAAAAATAAATTACAACCTTCTGAAGGCCAACTGGCAGTAAGCGCCATTAATATAAAAGAGTACGGGCCAAGTAAACGACAACTAGGGCTTGACTTCGCTAAAATTATCATCGATTGTCTTTGACGCTATTTTTTTTATCATATGGTACACACAAATGAGTTGCTACGAATAAAAAAATCATACAGTCCTATCTATAACATTGTAGATGTTACACGTCTATAAAAAAACGCTGTCAAATGTGTTCAAAGAATAGGATTTGGAAATAATTTTATATATTTAAAAAAAATGAAACAATGACTATTATTAGTTGTTTAGGAAGGTTGATATGCTCCGTCTACTAGCGTGACGTCACGACTTAGGGTGTCTATTACATCTCCAACATCGACGGAAAAAAACAAACACTTAAAATATGCAAAACATTTTATTCACAGTAGTGTAAACACTTATACACTTAAAAGGCACATTTTTCAATATACACTTAAAATAAAAATATAAAACATTCATTAAATTAATGTTTTTAGATATATAAGCGCTTAAAAATATATATTAAATATATGCAGGTATTTTTTTGGGTTAGATTTTTTTAGTTCATACAGTCCGTAAAGTTAAAAAAATAAATACAATACCATCGAAAAAAACGGCGTCAGAGATGGCTGGGAACAGAACTGATCGAATTTTTTGTGTATAAAATTGTATGGAAAACGCCCCTAGCCAACTAGAAACCGTTTTTTATTCGATGATACGGTAAAGGTATTTAGGGATTCCCCCACATCCTTATAGCAGTGAGGGCCGCATTTAGTTTTGAGCACCACTGTATCCTTTCTTCTTTTGTGTCGGCTGACAATAAATGCCTATGGGAAAAAATATACAATCAGTTGATTTAAAAATAATATTTTAATATTAATATGATCATATAAATATTTATATATAGTCTATATCATGTAAGATGACGCTTAAAAATAAAGTTTGCCCTTAAATCTCAGTCATCTTTAACGAAATTGACTCTATTTTTTCTCGGTCCACCACGAACATAGAAAACCAAGAGTTAGAAGAGATTACTCACCTTATGATGGTTTTATCTCCTTTCTTTATAACCACCAATGTGTTCAAATCTGTCGGACATGCTGGCCTCTCGCGTTCCAGTAGGAACGTGTGCAGTCTCGCACAGATGTCGCGGCTTACTGGTCCCACGGTTTCTGACGTTACAGACTTTAGGTCGATGGTGTCGATTGGAGGCTAAAAATCATCAAAAAATTGATTTGCTTTTAAAGTATGCAACAGAAAATTCAAGACTGTATTATCAAGGAAAGGAAAGATCATACTAAGGGCTGGCAAAGGTTAGTCTTGGGTCGAGATTTCCGTATGTAAGAAAAGTACAATGCCTTTATAATGTACTGAACAAAGAGAGAACATTAAAAACGTTGCAAAACGTATGAAATAAACAGAGTTATTAAATTACACGTAGTAATTAATAAACTACATTTACTACATGTCACAAGTAGTTTTTTAAATGTCGAGTAGTAAATGTGTAGTTTATGTAACTAATGTAGTTTTTTTAAATAACAGTGAAAACATAACCTAAAAACTTTGTTTGTTGATCATTTTAAAGAAATAAAGGTATTACCGAAATAAAAAATCTATATTTTGTGATGTAAAAAATCATATATTCTCCTGGAGAATGTCTATGGAGAATTTCTCCATAAGAATTTATAGTTTATTTTGTGTTCAATGTTACTTCATAGAAAATACACTTTTGTTGAAAAAAATATTGTCTCTTTTTCTAATGTTGTTTAACTTATACAAATATAAATAACTTCATACTTCCATGATAAGAATTTGGCTTGATTTTTGTTTAAAGTCTAAATTGTTTATGTTTTACTATATTTTTGTAGGTAGTTTTTAACGTAGTTTTTGTGTAATTTTTGAAGGTAGTTTTTAAAATTTTAAAACGTAGTTAATATAAAAAACTACGTTTTTGGCGTGTTTTTTTTGCTTCATAAACTACTTAACAACCCTGGAAATAAACCGAGAAACTATGCACATTTCTAAAAGACGTGGAAGGAGATATAGCAGACTCGTCACGGTCGGCCGGTCGACCCAATCAGTACCATATCAGTACTTAAAATTCTAGAGAAGAGCTTCACGATTTAATTACGTCTCGTGATACTTTATTTGTTTTTTTATTATTAACGAGTCGTAATTTTCCCTATAGCTTGTAAATTTTTAAGTGCAAGTTAGAAACACTTGCACTTTTGGTAAAAATAAGTGAAATTGGAAATCAGTGGTTGGTGTTCGACAGTGGTCGCGCTATTAGAACTCTGAATTCAAAAATTGATATCTCCAAATCCATTAGAAACAATTGATTGTAGTTTTTTTTCAAAAACCTTCTTAATATATCTGCTATATTTTCTTCGCAGACAGTATGTGAAAATCTTTATAAATAAAAAAGTTACAAGATTGCTAAAATTTGCAAAAAGTAATAATTATCTAGTTATCTTTTCGAAAAAAAGTGTTTTAAAAATCAGCGGTTTCCGATCGTTATTTTACTTTACTTGATAGGGAAAGGCGTACCGGAGAAATGTGGCAACCCCGCAACAGCACACCGTTGCATTTCTCTCACTCCGACTTAATAAGATTCCTATGCGAGTTACATCCACACATGTAAATAGTGACCTAAAAGTAAGAGTTGCCAGCACGGTATAAGGGAAAGAGCAGAGGAGACAGAAGATAGATAAGAGATAAGAAAAGGGAGTAGTATGGGGCTTAAAACACCCCCCGAAGAGCGAAAAAAGATAGAGGAAGTAGGATAATCTGGACAGCTGGAACTTCAAAATTTGCAAATATTACTTACGACTTTTTTTTCATCGTCGGGGTACTTCCAGTAGCTGAGACTGTGCCCTTTCAGCAAGCACCATCGCCTGTGCCACGCCCCGAAACCAGAAATATCCTCGAACATGGTCAAAAATCCTCTGTGTTCCACCGAGACGGCCAGTTCACAATTCACCTTCATTTCCACGACCCCCTCCAAGGGACTCATAGGGGGAGTCTGTAAATTTTATTATTTTTTTATATTTCTTCGAATAATTTCCCTAAGGATGACTTACATTGTTCAAACTCCACATTTTCTTGTTAAGGTTTTGAACGGAGAAAATCACGTAACCCATGAGCGCAAACGAAGAAGTCCGTACTACCTGAGGTCCGGCAGGTGACTCTTTTGGCGGCCTTTGAAACCTGGACTCTTGCTTGTTCTTTTTTGGCGTGGTCAAACCTTTAGACGCCTAGAAATACCTTTTTACTACTATGTATATGCGTAGGAAGAAACCTTAGATCGTAAATATAAAAACTTAGCGGATAAAATTATAATATGCCTTAAGTTATTACACAAAAATTTGTTTATTCTCCGAGTAGACACGAAACACTTTTTTCTACTTATTTATTTCTAGAACGTAGTAGAGAGAAATAGAACGTAGAAGAGATAGTAGAAAGAAGTTAAAGGAGAGATGTAGAGAGAAGAAAAGGAAGAGTGTAGAGAAGAAAAGAGAGTAGAAATAAGATACAGGAGAGAACAGAGAATATAGGGAAGAGTAGAGGAGATAAGAAAGAGGATAGAGAAGAATATAAGAAAGAGATAGATGATAAGGGAAAGTGTAGAGCAGAGGAGAACAGTAGCGGGGAAGATAAGTGAGATAGTAGGAAATATAAAAAGCAGAGAGCATCTAAAAAAATAAAGGAGAGCAGAGAAGATAAGCGGGAGTAGAGAGAAGATAAAAGAGAGAATAGAGAGGATCTATGAGATAGTAGAAAGAAGTTAAAGGGAAGATGTAGAGAGAAGAAAAGGAAAAGTGTAGAGAAGAAAAGGGAGTAGAAATAAGATACAGGAGAGAATAGATTATAGGGAAGATTAGAGGAGATAAGAAAGAGGATAGATGAGATATTAGGAAGAGATAGATGATAAGAGAAAGGGTAGAGCAGAAGAGATAGAGAAGATAAGGGAAAGGGTAGAGCAGGGGAGACAGAAGAGGGATAAGTGAGATAGTAGGAAAAAAGAGTAGAGAGAAGATACGGGAAGTAGAGAAGATAAGCGCGAGTAGAGAGAAGATAAGAGAGAGAATAGAGAGGATATAAGACAGTAGAAAGAACTTAAAGGAGAGAGTGTAGAGAGAAGATAAGGTAGAGTGTATAGGAAAAAAAAGGGTAGAGAGAAGATAGAGGAGAAAATAAAGAAGATAAGGGTAGAGCCGAGGAGGCAAGAGAGAGAAGCTAAGTGAGATAGTAGGAAAAATAAAAAGGAGCAGATAAAAAAGATAAAGGAAGAGTAGAGAAAAGATACGGGAAAGCAGAGAAGATAAGAGAGAGCAGAGAGAAGATAAAAGAGAGAATAGAGAAGATATAAGAGATAGTAGAAAGAAGTTAAAGGAGAGAGTGTAGAGAGAAGATAAGATAGTGTATAGGGAAAGAAAAGAGGGAACTCCTACCTTCCTTAGAGTAGAGAATATAAGGGAAAGTAGAGAAAAGATAAAGGAGAGGGTAGAGGAGATAAGAAAGAGACAGAGAAGATAAGGGTAGAGCAGAGCACACAGTAGACTGAAGTGATAAAAGAAAAAATAAAGGAAAGAGTAGAGAAAAGATACAAGAAAGCATAGAAAGGGAGAGTGTAAAATGAAGTGAAAGAGAGAGTAGAGTGAAGATAAGATACAGAGTAGAGAAGAGAGTAGAAAGAAGATAAAAAGAATAGTAGAGGATATAAAGGAGAGCAGAGGGAAGATAAAGGAGAGGGTAGAAGAGATAAGGAAGAGATAGAGAAGATGAGGGGAAGGGTAGAGGAGAGGAGACAATGGTGGGCAGATAAGGGAGAATAAAAGGAGAGAGCAGATAAAAGATAAATGAAAGAGTAAGAAGATATAGGAGAGTGTAGAGGAAAGAGGATATAAAGAGAGTAGAGAAGATAAGGGAGAGGACAGAGAGAGATAAGCGAAGAGAGAGGGAAAGTGAGAGATTGACATTCCAGTAAAGAACGACAATTTTTTGACAAATATTAGCAGGATATCTGGACAAAAAAAAATAAAATATTTTAAAATAACGTGACGTAAAGGAAAAAAGACAAAAGAAAGACAGACGATTGATCTAGTCAATGTCACAGACAGAGACACGTCCTTGATGTTATGACGAACCACATTTATTTATCCACTTATTTTATATATGATCTAAGGTCGAAAAAAACCTTTCAGAGACAAACCTTTTTGTGTATATGGTATTTAACTTCATGAGGAAGGAATTCCTCCTGAGCTTGTAGACAATACACCTCAAAAGTCACAGTAAAATCGCTGAAAATATTGTTTAAAGTCACAGATCCGGGAATATACAAGTCAGTATCGGGATTTTTTTTACTGGCAACCGTGGACGTTAGCTTTGTTGGTACAACTTGTTCGCCGCATTTAATCAGGCACACCACGTGATGTCCTTTACCTCCAGCTTGAATAAAAATAAATATTATTATATTTTCATACTAAATAACATTAAAAAAATAGTTACTAACTCGCAGCCAAGGCAGTGACGTATTTCTGTTTCATAGGCAACACTATATTCGATATAGTTAGCGTTCCTTTCTCCAGGGGCACACTCTGTGACAATTTACTTATCGGTCTTAATGTTCTTTCCACTCTTAACCTTTGAAGTTCGTGCAACGCTGCTTGTCTTCTGTGACCTGTTTTTTTTGGACAGAAAAATCATAAAATTATAATAAAAATCTTAGAAAAAAAAACTTACTTGCAACAAGTAGTACTCTTTCGGCTTCGACTTGTTCGGTAGAACCGGAAAATTCCGGAGTACTACTGCACAAATTCAAAGCCTGACTCGTTTGGGCGATGATATTCTGTTGAATATTCACCTGAAAAACGATGAAATAAATTTTTAAATTATATAATTAATAAAAATATAACTAGTTACTTCTTCCTCCAATACTTTAATCTTCGCCGTTACTGCATCGTCCTCGGTACTATCAGTCTCTACCTCGGAACTTTCCTCAATCAAAGGCTGTCTCGAGATCTGCCTCAAAGGGGTGTGTACCTGAAAAACAGATATTGAAAAAACTGATATTGGTATTTATTTCGCTGAGTAAGAGAGAGAAGAAGAAATGGAGACAGAGATAGGACATGGAAATATGGAAGAGTAGAGGAGAGAGAGGAAATAAGGGAGAGAATAGAAGAGAGAAAAGAGAGTATAGTAGGTAAGAAAAAGGGAGTAAGAGAAAAGGAAGAAGATAGGGAAAGAGTAGCGGAGACAGGGTTGGGTAACGACACGTAGAAAATTATTTTTCTACGTGTATATAGAAAAATGTATAAAATACGCGTACATGTTCAAAATTAATTTTGTATATATAAAGCTGTTTTCTCTAAAAAAAGTTTTCTCCTAGATATGTTCTTTAAATTCTATAAGTGTTAAACCTGTAATATATTAACATGTCTCTATTGTGTGATGGTACTAACTACCGAAGTATAAGAGACATATATATTAAAGTATATTTTCTTAATTCTTATCATTCACTTACATTCATCTATATAGACTGGTGGTAGCAAGGCGGCTGCGGCTTCAAGAATCAAGTGCCTGAGAAAGCCCACTATGATGAGGCGAAACGTCGCATAAAAAAAGTTTCTATTTTCAATTAACTAAAAAAAACCTCATACCCAAGAAAGGAAAAAAATATATATGGATATTCATAGTTAAGGTTTTATGACATTATATTATAATATTATTATTCACATGTTAAATAATAAATAACAATTGATTACTGTTATTAATTTATTTCTTGTACTAATCATTGTGTTGAACTATTTAAAACAAATATAAACGCAAAAATAGTTTCCAATATACAGAACTACTTTTCTACAAATGGACATATTTAAAATGTAGACAAGTGGATGTAGAAAATTCGGTAGAATATGTAAAATTTTCTACCAACCCAACCCTGAGAAGAGATAACGGAGAAAATAGGAGATAAGAGAGAACAGAGGAGAGAAAATAAAAGAGGGAGTAGAGAGAGAATAGAACGGAAAATAAAGAGAAGAGAGGAGATATATGGAATAGAGAGGGAGAGAGTAGAGGAGATAATGGAAAGAAAAGATAAGATATAGAGAATAAGGGAGAGATTATGAGAGAGAAGATCGGGAGAGTATTGTAGAAAAGAGAAGAACATAAGAAAAAGAATAGGGTGGAGAAACTATAAGGGAGAATAGAGAGATAATAAAGAAGAGATAGGAGATAAAGGAGAATAGCGGAGATATATAGATAATACAGGAATATCTCCTTGCCCGAGCAGAGGTGAGAGGTTCTCGCTCTCTCTTGCCCTTTGGTGAAATCAGGCTGTTTCTTGGTTCTTTTACTCTCCCCTTTTTCGAGGAGCATTTTCGCTTTTGCTCCCTCCAAAGCAAATCCTTTGTGGATCAGTCGGAGGTATCTCCGTGCTCATGCTCTGCAGAGATCTACTCCCCGCCTGATTGATCCAGGCAGGGTAGAGGAACCGGTAACTTGTGTAGCCTGTTGGGTCTAGAGGTAGGCTCCCGACCCTTACTAGAGGAGGTGGTAGCTTGTGTGCCGCTTGTGGAGGCTGGCCTCGCATAAGTATCAGTTGCCTCTCCTGTAGTTTCCTTCTTGGAACTTGCCCTGTTAATGTTCCCAGTGTTTTTAGGGAGAGGGTAGAGGAGATATGGTAGACAATAAAGGATTTAATTAATAAGTACAACAAAATTACTTTTTTCCCAGTACATTTTTTAAAACTCTTACCTCATTTTGCTGCTTCCTGTAGAAACTGACGGTGTGCGTGAGCTGTAAAACCTCGTCACCGTCCACGACGACCGGAAGTTCGGTAGATGGCCTGGGCGACGCGGCGACGATTTTTTTCGGAGACTGAAAATTATTCTCCTTCTTTTTACTGTCGTTTGGAGAAGCGAAATTTTTGTAGTGGAACGAGTTGGACTGGTGTGCCCTTGCGTGCTGTAAATTTTTTTTTTATTTGATCAAATTAGAGATAAAAAATATTAGTGATGGGTTGTTATTTAACTATCTGTTATTTTATAACAATTATTTAGAAATAACATAACGCAACCGTTACTGCTTTTAAAAAATAACAGATATAAAATAACAACACGCAGAGATCGAGTGTTCGTGAAACGAAGTCGGCGCTCTGCACTGCCACGAAATTCGATGCTGCTCGAAGCAATTCTAAAAAACAACTAGTATGGATGGAAAACCTATTATTTCGACAACCATCGATACAGGCGGCGAGATACAACGGACAACGGAGTGGGGTATGCGCTACGGCGCGGCGCGTCGTGTTGGGCTGACAACAGCTTAAAAATAATAGGATATAAAAGAAGCAGCTTTTTTGAAACAGTTGCGGGCATAACGCCTGGCTGTCGAGATAACAGGAGTGGGAAAGGAGCGCTGCTGCATCGGTCGATTGTCGATGGAGGCTCGCAACGGGTTGGAGAATAACGCATCAGTTGTTTTAGCTATGTTGTTTTTTTACCTGTTACGAGCATAACAGAACGGCGTTCGAGATAATCGGAGGTTTGAAACAGGTTGGAGAATAACGCATCAGTTGTTTTAGATACATATTGTTTTTCAACCTGTTACGAGCATAACGGGCGGAGGTCGAGATATTATGGCGCTGTATGTTTCAATACTTTGTTATTAAGTTTCAATATTTAAGTATTTATTTATTCTGAAAAATTTTCAGAATAATATTTTAAGATTTTTTAAAAATGTATACAGGGTGTTTTGAAAAATCTGGTCATTGATTAATCACGATCCTGCTTAAAGCCCTTGACGTAAAAAGCTGATTTTTGGAAAACGGATTGACTTTAGGGTGTAGAGGTGCGATAAGAAGGGATTTTTCGAAACTCAAATTCTAAGGGGGTGAAACCACCCTCAAATATTAGAATATTTTTTATTTAAAAACTGGTGAGTTTTTCGAAAAAACTCTTAAACACGTATATTTTATTTTGTTGTTTTACATATTTTGAGATTTTTACAAAATATATACAGGGTGTTTCATAAAATATGACCACTGAGTAATCACTATTCTGCTTAAACTGCTTGACGTTTAAAGCTGATTTTTGGTAAACGGATTGACTGTGGGGTGTAGAGGTGCGATAAGGAGGGGTTTCTCGAATCTCAAATTCCAAGAGGGTGAAAACGCCCCTCAAATATTACAATATTTATTATTTAAAAAACGGTTAGTCTTTCGGGAAAACGATTGGACACGCATAATTTATTTTGTTTTTTTACATATTTTGAAATTTTTTAAAAAATAATACAGGGTGTTCCAAAAAGTTGAGTAATTGATTAACCACGATTCTGCTTAAACTGCTCGACGTTTAAAGCATATTTTTGGCAAATGTGAGAAAATTTTATCCAGTTTGTATGTTAATGGAAATTCTTGCTTTGCTTTATCATCACCATTACAAATTAATAATTCGATGCGAACGAAGTCGCGGGTACAACTTAACAAGTATAGCTAGAGACGTGAGAAATATAAAATAAGAGACGCCCCCCGATGCGCAGTGGACATCCCACAAATTTGCTTCAATCAGATTTTTCGTAGCGTAACTGCATCTCTCTTCCGCCGAATGCGTTCTCTCTCTATCGTGTGCGCGACCGGTGCTATCCCCAAGTCTCTTCCTATATTTGTCAAACTGTACATGCTAGTTTAAGTGTAAAATTAATTCGAACTCTAGTGTGTAGTTGGTTTACTTATGAAGAATATACTACACATTTTCTTATATTGCTATTTTTTGACCGCAAATGGTAAAATCATAACGAAGAGCTTCTCGCCCGTCGAGTGAGATGCACCCTGTACACTGCTACGCAATTCAGAATCTACGCGGATCGAGGGGTAGGGCGTAGGTAGATCGGAATTTATAGATATAGACGAGTGGCGGCATTTTGGCTTTTTTATATCGCAATTTGTAAACAGCGCTTATTTGTAAACAACCCCCGTTTTTAGAGAGGTATTTTAGATAACAATCGATATTTAGAAATGTTATGACACCCTGGAAATACTACCCCGAGCACGTCATTGTTGCAACTGCGTTAATACGCCTGGCGGTGACCGCCTCATATTCTTTCAGATATTTAGCAATAAAATAAAGAAACCTGTTATTTTTAAGCTGTTATTTTAAGCTGTTTTTTATAAATAACTATAACAGTTTCAACTGTTATCTAAAAATAACAGTTTTGCCCATCACTAAAAAATATACCTTTGGAGAGTAATGCCGACCCTGTTTCGGAGGTGACGGTCCTGTTCCGCTGTCATCATCGTCAATTTCGTCCAAAATCTCATCTAGTTCGTTCATAATACTAGAATTTTCGCTGCTAGTGGATTCTTCATATGTTACCTATAAAAAAACATATATAAAATGACGAAACCCTAAAAAAAAATTAAAAAAATATACCTTCTTGGAAGGAGTGACATTTTTACATACTGCCTCTAGGATATCTCTTCCGAAACTTGTGTTAGGATCAGCAGAATCAAAACTGTTATCTCGCGAGCTATTAAAAAATTATTTTGTAAATAGTAAAACTTTGTAAATATCTGTGAATATACATGTTACATGGATTAGTTACAGTGTGTCTTAATGTTAAACGAGTGTTAATAAGATGGAGTTTAACATGCATAAGAGGTGAATGAAATGAAAAAAATGCTATGATGAATTGTATAAATTTATTAAAATTACATATAACATGTATCACAGTATATTTACAGAGAGAATATAACCTTAAAATTATTCTACACATTTTCTAAAAAATTGCCTACACGATTATTATGAGTATTATTAATTAAATATCTAATAAAAAAATAAAGAGTCATATATAATCTTCTTTAAAGAACTAGTATCACTACAGGCCTCTGTAGTGATAATAGATTTTTAAAGAACATATATTTTATAAGGAACACCACATATATTGTAAACACATAAAAATAAAGAGAAAAAAATACCCAGCCCCTAGATTTCATGCTAGACAAAGACAAAACAATATCCAATTCGTTACTTTATCGCACCTGTTCTCTGTTTGGTTCGGAGTGGGTGTCCTTGTATCCGGATCGGTCGTAGTAGCCTCGATATCTGATAGATTCGGGTACAGCCTACCTACCTTAGGGGGCGACACCTTGATTCTTTTCACGTCCTCTAAAGTAAACGCTACTTTGGGACTGTCCGCGTCAGCTGCAAGGAAAATATTTAAGAGAAAACTGTTATTTCTTGGAAATGTTGTTCCTAAATAACAGTAAAAACTGTTATTTAGAAATAACAGGTGAAACTGTTATTTAGAAATAACAGTAATTGTGTAAATAATCGTTACTGCCTTGGGACTGTTACTTAAATTAAATATTGATAAAACAGTTATTTTTAAATAGCAGTTAGATTTGTTGCTGCTCTGGAACTGTTACTTACTTGAGAATAAATTAGATACGGATAAAACTGTTATTTCTATATAATAGTTCGAATTGTTATTTGCAACGACTGAATAATAGGTCTGTTTGTTATCAGTGTAATTGAGTGTTTGTGTAGAAAGTGTAACATAGTGTATATTAAGTGACCATAACGTGCAAAATGTACTATATATACCCAATTTGTAAGAAACACTTTAGGCTTAAGAGAATGTAGTTTAGGTTGCTCTAAGTAACACCAGCGCAGAATAACAAACATATCTAATGATTGATTTATGATAAACTGTCAATTAGAACAATTTAATTTTTAAATTATATTTAAAAATAACAGTTAAAAAACTGTTAGTTACTTTATAACAGAATAAACCGATTTGGTCATTTCAGAGAAGTGTGGTCTGGATCTTAACATGTAAGACACAGATGTAGGCAGCTTAATGGAAAATAAAATGTATTAAAAAGAGATAAAAGTTGGGTTGATACATTTCTTCTGTGCGGTATTGTCGGATTTTGCATCAAAAGCTCAAACCGCACAAGTAGGCGTTTATAGAAAATGTTGCATCTAGGGTTGGAACCTTATTTTTCACAATTAGTTACTCATTTTACTACAGATGTAATAGATTATATTTAGCTTAGATATATTCTCTTCAGTAGTGTGCATGAATGTTTTTAAAACAGTTTTTTTCTACACAAATTTTCTTACAAACGTAAAAACCGGCAACACTGTATGCTGCTTTTGATTTTGTATCTGTGCCTGTCAACTGGTCATATATATTATCCTCTATCTTACACGTTAAAATCCAGACCACACTTTTAAAATTACCAAATCGGTATATGGACAAAACTGTTATTTCTGAGTAACAACTGTAACTGTTATACCAAAATGGTTTAAACTGTTACTCCCTTGGAACTGTTACTTCCATAATAATTAAATTAGACAGGGACAGAATTGTTATTGTATTACTGTTATTGAAAAATAACAGCTTAAAATAACAGGTTTCTGTTATTTTATGCCGACAAAAACGTTACTAACTTGTAATTTTCCCACCGCTTTTCCTTTTTTCTGCCGATCTGCGAGGGAGAGGCGCTTGAACAGTCACTGGCTTAGATTTCAACATGGCCGTTTCCTCATCGGCATCTTCGCAATCTGAATAATCGGACTCGCTGGGCGCTTCTTCAATTATGTCTTCATTATTTGCCACCTAGAAATATACAGAGAAACATGGCAATCATCCATACATATATATTTATTGTCTTAAACAGTACCTGTTTGTTTTTGTTAAATCTGTTCAGTAACATATCCATTTCTTTCTGTCTCTCCGCCTTCATTTTGTTGAAGATTTGTTCTTCGGAAATCGTGGATTTGTTCTCTAACAGCGTTGCCATGGTATTGGCTATACCGCCAGCTTGATGCACCACTGCAACAGTTGGTATTTTTTTATTTGACTCAACTTTTTTATTCTCTTCAAATTTAATAATGTTTTTCTTAAATTTTCCCTGTCCTTCTTCCTTGTTTTTGAAGGTTTCTTTATTCTTTGCGTTATTTTCAGTAATTCCAATAAATTTGCTCTCCGAGGCCTTCATTGTGGTGTCAACTTTGACGGGAGCAGACTGTCCAAAAGGCGCTTTAGGTATCAAGGCATTACCCTTATTTTTCTCAAAAAGAGCTTTCCTTTCTGCCAAACTTAACAAGGCAGGATCTTTCTCAGGCTTTACCGGACTATTATGAACCTTACTCTCAAATATGGCGGCCTTATTTGCCACTGAACCCGGTTTTTTTAATTCACTAATCTCAGATTTTTTTACGTCATTTTCTTGAAGCGTTGGCAGGCTTTTTACGGTACTTTTAGCGGATTCCTCTGTTTTTTGACCACCCTGTGAATTGTATGAGTAAACTAAACGTGAAGACGAAGCCGTGCGTGTGAATCCTTGTGATTGCTACAAACACCACATGCAAATAATTTAAAAAATAACCCTACACTAAACGTTTTACCTGTCAGTTAAAAAGGTCAGATAAGGTGTAAAGATTTTGGTGTAAAGGCCATGGAGGAAGCACTACTATTATTGATTCAAAATTAAATATGAATAAAACTGTTATTTCTAAATAACTGTTTTGGAACTGTTATTGCTCCGGAACCGTTACTTAATAATAAATTTGTTATGAACAAAACTGTTAATTCTAAATAACAGTTTTGGAACGGAACCATTACTTAATAATAAATTAGTTATGAACAAAACTGTTATTTCCAAATAACAGTTGGAAAAATTACTTACTTTCGAACTGTTCCTTAATAATAAGTTAGATATGTGCAAAACTATTAATTATAAAGCAGAGTTGGAACTGTTATTTCTTTGGAACTGCTATTTAATAACAAATTAGATACGAATAAAACTGTTATATCTAAATAACAGTTGGATCTGTAATTCCTTTGGAACCGTTACTTAGTCCAGTTCAAGTAAAACGTTTTTTTACGTCACACAATATTTTATTTGATATCTTTAGACTAAACAGGTAAAACCTTACGTGTAGAAAATAGTTTTATGTCAAGGAATCACAAGAATAAAAAACTAACAAATAATCTACCAAACACAAGGAAAAAAAAAATATTATTTACCAATGTATCCAAAACTTTTGGATCCCAGTTTATTTGTTTGGGTACTGCCCCTTTTTCTACATTTAAAACAGTCTTTTTAGGACTACCATGTACTATCCTTGGACTCTCTTTGGAGACTATTTTTTTATTATCAGAATCTCCCTCAATACTATCTTTATCATTAGATGGTTTGGGTTTAAATAAACTTTTTTTAGGACTGTTTGTTGTACTACTTGGTGGACTTGGTGCTCGAGATTTTGTCGGTTTTTTAGTCGATTTCTGGGGGGAAGATTGATTATTTGTGAGAGGAGGCTGTGGTGCGGGTGGTTTCCATGTTTTTTTAGGTGTGGTAGTAGTAGTACTTTGAGAAATAATCTATTGAATAGTAAATAAATAAAAAAATAAATAAAAAAATAAAAAGAAAAATATAAAATGATGTATGTAAAACTTACTGGATGGCTCATGTCATCTTCCCATCTATTGATTGTCTCTGCCAAGTCCGCTAATTTGCTCAGTCCTTTGTGAGATTTTTTATCAATTTTCTTCGGTTTTTCTGCTTCCTCATCAGTAGCCATGTTTTTATAGAACTGGGCTTCCGTTCTGTGTATTGGAGAAGATATTTCTGCATCTTCCCCACCTAAAAATAAAAAATAGTTTGTAACTGTTACTTCTAAATAACAGTTGAAACTGTTACTTCTAAATAACAGTTGAAACTGTTACTTCTAAATAACAGTTGAAACTGTTATTTCCAAATAACAGTTTGAACTGTTACTGTCTTGGAACTGTTACTACCTTAATAATAAATTACAGTATGTCTCCGGATTGTCTTTACAAGAGGAAAAACTTTTTTATTATTGACAATTTGAGAAAAACGCATTCTTAAAAATTTTTGCTTGTTCTAAAATGGTTAATCCCGTTTATACTTTTACAAATTTCCATACCGTTTTTGAGAAAATAAAAAAAAACACGAAAATATGGTTGAATTTTTTCCTAAAAATCAAAAGGCGTTTCTATGGTAATATAATTTCGATTTTATTCTTTGACAGATGGTTATTATTAATTTTGATTAAAGTGTTATTTTTTTGCTGTTGTTAAAGAGTCTCATTTTGCCAGAACTATTAACACACTTTCTGTAGTACTGAACTAAATTAATTTTGTGCTTCGTATAGACAAAACTGTTATTTATAAAAAAAAATTGAGGAACTGTTTAAACTGTAACTGCTTTGGAACTGTTACTTCCTTAATAATAAATTAGATATAGACAAAACTGATCTTTCTAAAAAATAGTATGAACTGTTATTTCTAAATAACAGTTGGAACTGTTTCTGTTTTGGAACTGTTACCTACTTAGTAATAAATTAGATAAAAATAATAGAAAAAAAAACAGAAATAAGATTTAAAAAATAGAAATAAAAATTTAAAAAATAGAAATAAAAATTAAAAAAACAAATTGTTAAATATATCCCATTTAACCCATATTTACACTGTTTGGTTAGTTTAAACAATTACCAGCATAGAGTTTCCCCAATCTTTTCAGCCTATTCCTAGACTCTTCCCTAAGACCAGCATTTTCCTCATTGTGATTCGAAAACCTCTCTATATTTTCCTCGTTTTCCCTCTCCTCTATTTCCACTTCGACTCGCACATTCTCAGCACTCTTGACCTTAATCTCCATGTTAAAATCATCCTTCTGTATGTTCAGTGTCTTTGTGAGCATGTTATTGTTTGGGGAACCTTCAACATCAGAAGAAATTCGAGTTACTGAGTTTTGACGATGAAATTTAGTTGTGTAGGTTGAATTTAGCATGCCTAAAATGTGTTTGTTAGTGTTCTGGTGATGTTAATGATAGTTAAATGGATATAATAATGGTAAAGTCATATTTAATGCATACTTAATGAGTCTTCTTTGTTGGACAAAGCAGCTAAATTGCCTTCTGAGTGAATTTCTTTGGGGGGAATGGCAGTAACCTTCGTTAAGTTTGGTTCTGATTTATTTGTTTCCCTCAAAGGGTGGCTTTTGGCCTCCCCTATCATCCTTTGTCTTTCTCTAGCCCTTGACAAAATATTCTAAATAACGTTAAAACTAGATTATACTCATTATTTTCACTCAGATAATCCTTAAATCTTTCAGTAAAAACAAGAAAGATATATAAAACTACCCCAAAAAAATACAACTACAATAAAATACCTACTTCAGTGAAAGGGTCCATTTCAATTTTATAATTATCCTCTTTTACTACACTTTGAACTATTTTTGTTCAAATATCTTTGTTAAAAACACCACACCACAAAATTTTGGTACTTTCAAACCATAAAATTGATTACAAAACACAATTTGTCTATGGTTTTTTTAGACTGTTATTTTTGTAACAGTCGTTATAAAGACAAACACAACCGTTTTTCGACAATGCCATTTCAAAAAAGACGTTTTGGAGTTTTTCAGAAGTACCAACTGGTAATTCCTACAAGAATTGGTAGTACTGACATTTTTGTATAAACAAGGTATAAACAAAGAGTTCCACGGAAATACACTAGATGGGGTGGCAACTAGCGCAAAAAAAATAGGAAACTACTCTGATTTAAAACTATTTAAAAGATATATTTTTCAAATTTATAACTTTTCCTTCGCCATAATGTCAAGAATAATGATTTAACATTTTTATTTATGGGAATTACATTTCTTGACTCTTTAATAAAAGTATCTTAAAATACTTGAACAGAATCAACAAATTTCATGAGTGTATGTATGGAAAATGTCAAAAAATTGCCAATTTTTTGGCTGTTTTTTACAAGTTTTTACAGCTCTTAGAAAAATAGTAAACATTGTCGAAAAATTATGAAAATTTTAGCATTTTCAGCAAATTTTATATAGATTTAGAATATGTAATGATTTAATACTTTAAGTGTTTTTATTTTGTAAGAAACTTGATATTTCAAACCCTTGTTTTTGAACGATTTTTCATCGTAGCTAAATTATTATCTACAGGTCATACTGAACTCTTAAGACCAAAATGGCTTAAATTTTGTATTCTACGCCTTTTATTTAGTAATTAACACTGGTGCCATCAAAATCGGAGACCTGTGTAGTACCACAGAATATCTAGCTACTAGCATAATATTTTTAAAATTAATTTAATTTATTTTTCAATTTTTTTTATTAATATATCCTTCACCATAATGTCCAGAATAAGAGGTTTAAAATACAAACACGGTTCGTTTTTTTTTTAATTTTTTAATGATTGCTATTCCAGTAAATAGAATTATTACATTGTCACACATACGATTTCATACATCAAATTTGGTTAAAAATAATTGCAACGAAATTTCTCTAACTTTTTTCACATCATATTTTTTTTTAAATATCTATATCTTACAAATTATTTATTTTTCTCTTCAATAATGCCATACAAATTTCACAGTAAGTTTTCCTCTAAACCTAATTTTTTCAACGTTTTAAGTCATAGTTTTCCTGAAAAATAAATTCTTATTGGCCACTTTGGATTCGAAAAACTTTTTTTTTGTTATTACTAAACTTTATACAATAATTTACAATCTTTTCTTTTATTCAATATAATATGTTTATTTTTTTCTATACAAAAGAGTTTATTTTGTGTGGCAAATAAGGATATATTTTTTTAAAACACTAAAAAATAATTTAAAAATTCCAAAATATACGATTTTTTTTTCTTCACTTAACCAAAAGTGATAAAATTTTTTTTTTGCGCATACATTCTACAGTCTTCCATTCGAAAAAAATGTCTGCTCTACAGTGTATAAGATAGGAACTTAGAATAACTAAAAAAAAAGCAAAAAATATATAAGTTAAATCAAAAAATGGCAGTCAAATTCAAAATAAAAATGGCAAAAACACTTGTTTGTAGTTATTAATAGTAAAAAAAAAATAATAAATCGTTTACAATATAACTCTTAAACCTAAAAATAAACCCTATAATTACTAGGAATATCCAAAAGAGGCGTTTTTGATCAGTTTTTTGCCTTGTTTTGGAATTCTTTTAAAGATATTTATCTCTTAATTAAAGTTCAAGTCTCCTAAAAGTAAAATATTAATAAAAATATATAAAAAAACTCATACACGTATATCCTAAAAATAATTTTATATATATAACTTTTTAAAACATTATACATACATAGATTTTTTCTTTTTAACGTATACATAAAAAACAAAAAATAAATAGATACACCTATAACTGTAGAACACTAAAAATATTCATAATTTTTCGAAAAAAATCATTTGATTTTTTTTCTGTAATAGACTGATGTGTTTCGAAAAAATGAATAAGAGTTCATTAAAACTAAAATGGCATTACATTTTAGGCTTTTTTTAAAATAATAAAATAAATACAACTTTCAAAAATTCTTATACGTACATTATTACACGATACAAGTATTATTATCAAAAAATGACCCCCGATTCTACTAAAAACGTTTATCTTGTAACTTTTTTTGGTTTATACCGAGATATTTTTGTTCTAATTTTGATACAAAAGGAATATTGCACATTATATGTTTGGCTTATTACCCATCTCACTTAACATAGATAGAATCTGCTTTAATTTTTATAAATTGCGAGAAAAACTATAGGCGAAATATTAATATAGACCCTGTAGGTAGATTATATTTTTCGATTTGTTTACTAAATATAATATAAAAGTTTTTTTTACTTGGTTTATTTTGTATAATAAGATTATAGTTTGTGCCTAAGATTTGTTATAATTTTACACCCAAAATTAGATTTAGTTTTTTTATATATACAGTATGTCATCTTTCAAGGTATTAAAACCAAAGGATATTATCCTTATTTGATTTTTAGAACTTATTTAAGAACCATATTTTCATAATTTTTATATTCAGCAGCAAAAACAAGCATGCATTTTTCTTGAAAAGTTAACAATAAAAAAGTTTTTCATACATGAAATTTTTTAAAATATTCTTAGCGTTGTCATGTAACATGGGCAACATAATCCAACACATATTCACAAGCAAAACTGTTTTTTTTTCAGTCTTTCTTGTGTAGAAATAATAATGAAAAACAAACGTTTACAAAAAATGCCAAAAATTACGAATTTGTCAAGTTACAAAACCAAACTTTTTTAGCTAAAAATTGCCTCAAGAGTTTTCTGACATTGATATTTTACCTTTGTAACTGGTACAGTTATAAACAGAAAAAATAACATCACTTGTTAACTATTGTATTATTTAATAATTCAACAACATATATCTAGTAAAATTTAGCTATCATAGTGCGGGTAGTATAGTATATTATTATGTATGTTATGGCAAAGGTATACTTTGGTAAAATATCAATTTTCTTTATGAAAAACACTATTATTTTCTTCGTTTAACAATATTAAATTCATATTAAACTATAACATGGTGTTTTAAAGTGTATATTCAATTTTAAATCATTTTTTTTGGTACCTAAATTTTGCCTAAACGTAGTATCTAGTGAAATTGTGTATTCGACACTTTTTGAATACCCTGTATGATCAAAAAGTTTCATTATTGTACACACTGTATCATTATAATCATCACACAAGTGTTTTCTATGATTATAAACAATTTTTTCTTCAAAAAACAACCCAAAAGTTATTTAATTTTATTAAGTTTTGGTTTGATTATTTATTTAATATCTGATTTTGTATTTGCTTCTAAATTTTGAGCCTTTTCAGTACTTTTTTTAAGTAATTTATATATTTTTAAGTAGTATACAGGGTGTTCCAATATTCCGTGAATATAGTAATAAGGACTCCGGATTTTTTGAATTATGTAATAAGCTTCATATTTTTTTTTAATTATTTAATGTTTGGGTTTATTTTTTATTTAAGCGCTCTAACTGTCCTCTAAAAAAGAAAAAAAGAAAAAAAAAGAAAAATAAAACCAAAAAAAAGAAGAAAAAAAAAGAAAAAAAAGAAAAAAAAGAAAAAAAAAAAAAAAAGAAAAGAAAACAAAAGAAAGAAAAAAGCAAAAAAAAGAAAAAAAAGAAACAAAAGAAAAAGAAAAAGGCGAAAAAAGTTCTAGATCCACGGAAAATATTTGGACAGACTATATTATATCATACCTCTTTACTTAACCATGTTATATATACGTTTATATTACTAGACCTAAACGTAAAAACTTTGAGACAATTTTAGGGGGCCTCCCAACATAACAATTTATCAACAAATATAGCACGAAAACATAACCTCGTTTAACAGTTAATTAGCTAACATTAAAAACTACATTTATTATATAGTATGTGGTTTTATTTTGTGTGTTTGAACGCAATTTTTTAACCGCAGAGAATTTCCATTTTATGCAAGGCCTAAATGTGTGTAGTTTTCCCAAAAGTGACGTTTTGTTTATTTGTATCGGCACTCCTCCTCAAATCCTTTTAATAACTTAGTATAGATTCCAGGATATATATCTTGAATGAATGTGCGTTTTTAGGAAAAAAATCCTAAATTTTTTGAATTTGTGCGTTATTTCGAGATTCGGGGAGGATTGCCAATCAGTTTAAATGTGTTAATGTGTGTAATTTTGACAGAATAACATAAAGTAACACCCGCTAAATTTGATTTTAATTTTAAAAAACTATATACAATAATATATACGGGTTTTTACTGAGTATAGTGTGTATAAATTATATACACACTGCTCAACTCATATGAGATATAGTTTAAACCTCCATATATATTATCGCATAATGTAAAAAAGGATAAAAGTAAAAATATAAAACTTCCTAAATAGTATCATTTTACACAAAAGAGTGTATTTTATCGATTATTTTTGTAACATTACCCGAAATGTGTTTGTGTAATAGTGTTTTGTAATGTAAAAATGTAATATATTTGATTTTATATATTATATTGTAAAAAAATAATAAAAGCAACGAGTTCCTTTTTTGAAAAAATACACCAACCCTTGTTTTTCGTGTGTAAAAAAAATAATATAGTGTAAAAAAAAGTGTCGCGAAATGGTTTTTTTCCTTCTTCCTTAACAAGAATTTGAATATTTTCCCAAAACTATCAACTTGTCACGAAAAAACATTGAACCGAAGTGTGGATTATCGAAATTTTTTGTATAGGGCGTTTGGAAATAAACGTCCGTTTTGGCTATTGCAGTTTAACGGAAAATTTAAACGACCGACGATGCCAAGTCTGGCAATATTTCGTTCCTTTCCAGGGATTTTCTGAAGCTTTTTTCATTGGTTTATATTCGCCTTAAAAGCTAGCTATTATTTGTGTATTACTTATATTATGGGTACATTGAACCATGGGATGAGAGACAGGGGGTACATTTAGTTAGATATTCTAGGAAAAAGAAGAAATTTCAGTACTTAGGTACATTTAGAGGAAAATAACATCAAAAAAAGAGTTATCATCATTTCTTTTTCTGACAACTATCGAATTGACTAAAAGAGTTTTTTTTTTCGACAGGTATACAGGGTGTGTTAATGATTTTTTTCCACGAAAAAAAATACATTTCGAGAAATTTTTTGTCAAATGTATAAATTTACAGTTAAAATTTAATTTTTAGCTAATATGGCAACATAGGTAGTAGACTGTGTAGTCCAGTGGTTTTCATAATTTAAGTAAAAAAACATAATATATAATTAAAAAAAAAATCAATTTAAAATATTTTTTTTTGTCGAAACCTACCAGCCTTCGCGATATGTATTTGTTCTTATTTAAAGCTCACCCTGTGTAATTTATTCGTAATATTATACAGGGCGATTCTTAACTAAGTGTAAATATATTTGGAAGTGCCATATTTTGACACCAGAAATATTCCTTGAGTCTTTTTTCTATAAAAAACGCATTTTTCGATATTTTTTCTTGTAAAATTTTTAAATTTTCTGTTCCAAAATATAGTATCTTGCTAATATGGCCATAAGTAGGTGGTAAATTAAATTTACAGACACAAAAAAATTTAAGGTAAAATAACTCGGGTTTTTTGGACATTTTTAAAAAACGGCAAAGAGATAATTTGTTTCTTTTATCTAGGACTACTAGCTCTGACCATATTTATACTTATTTAACACACCCCCTGTATTTTAAAATACTTCTTTGTAAAGTATACTTAGTATCAAAGTATAGAAATATATTTTTAGTTTATAGACCTAAAATTTTAAAAGTTTTTCTTCTTAGTCACTGACTGAAAGCTATAGAAATTTATTTCCACTCCATATAATTTGCTTAACTATTACATTAAATATTATTTCATAAACCAAAATTGACACAATAACTGACATAACATCTATTGCTGTTCTAAGATTTCGAAATTTTTTTAGCGTGTATACTTTGACTTAGGGGAGACTGGGGGATAAAATCGGTGCTACATTTACTAATCTACGTGTAGGGGAAGCTGCTTGATGCTTTTTTTGGGCCCCGGGAAAGGAACGGCATGACAACGCCGGTCAAAAAACAGTGAACCGAACATTGAACTGAAAACTCGGTGAGAAAATTGAAAAACGACGTGAGCACGCCACTGGAATGGCAGTGACGTACCCGACGCCTTGTAATCGTGGGCTATTGCAAAAAAATTTCATTTTTTCATGTAATTTTACAATAAATATACGACAGTATCGGGCATTTTAGTCGTTATATTTTGTAAAATACACTTAAAACTGGCAACGGCTCAAGGCAACATAAACAAAACCATATTTTCACTCTCTAGAAAGAAATTTCAGTATTTCCAAAAAAAGTGAAAATAAGATTTTGTTATTAGAAAACAGAAAAATCTATACCCTTGAGTCCGCTACTGGAGAATCAAAACAATATGGTCTCGAAGGTCTATCCCAATCAAAGACGAACTCTTTGGGCAATTTCGTCCATCTTAAATTAGAAAAATTTCTTTTAGAAACAACCGTATTCTACTTTACAGCACATCCAAGCTTAAACGAAGAAAGTTCTGAGTTTAATGAATTTTTTTTGTGATTATTACTATTTTTTTTCGTTTATTCTCAAAATTTATACCGTATACACACGTAAAAAAAGGTGTTTCTAAAAAAAACCTTCCCCAGCAGGATAAACCTTCGATTTTGGGCTATGGAGTTTATTTTTGTTTGTGGTTAACTACTCAAGTTATGTCTCGAGTAGTTAAAAAAAGGGCAAAAATGATTGAAGCACTCTGTGCAACCGGGCTATTGTAGTATATTAATTTGTGTATGTATTTTAACTATATATGTATGTTGTATGTCAAAATCGGTTGGTTTTGCTTTGTTTTCAGATTAAATATTTGGCCCAAAAGGACCATACCATTTTTATCGCTATTTGTACCAAAAACTATGATATTTTTTAATTTTATCCCATTCATTTCTGAATGGGATAAAGTATTTTAACCAAAAATTGATTTATCCCATTCAAAAATGAATGGGATAAAAAAGATTATGAATTTTTACATTTTGTAATTTACTAAAATGCTTATAATCCTTCGAGCCAAATATAAAATCTGGGTTTAAAATTATTTGCAAAAAAATCACCTTAATTTTTTTACGAATTAACGGTTTTTTTTGCAAAGTATTTTACTTCGACGAAAATCGGGTGATTTGCGTAAAAAATTGACAGATTCTGTTTTAGAAATTCGTGTTTTTAGCAGAAAATTCTAAAAAATCTGCCACAAAATTACTCATTACATTACTGTCAGTCATCTAGCTACGTCAGAAAATATATTTTTTTTGCGGGGCTTGTAAATAATATTTTTAATTTTCCCGAGCTCACTAACTAGTGTTTTTTTTTTAAATTTTGCAATGTATATGTCAAAAAAGAATGTGTCCTGATATTTTGAGTGAGGGGAAAAATTAAAAATAAATTTACAATACGTTTTTATATCGAAATAAAGTGAAATTTTGAAATGTATGACTGAACTAAAAAGAGAGAAATAATTTTTACGCAAAGTATTGTAGTGAATATATTTTACACTATTGAATCTGTGTCGTTTAGTGTGTAAAATATGTCATTTCTGTCACTTTTATGGGAAATATTGGTCAACCTTAAGTTGGTTGTTAATATAACTATTGTATTTACTTTTTTAACTATTGACTCTTAGTGGCTATGGATGCGTTCTTTTCCGGAAAAAAGTGTAAAATTTTCCGTTTTTATTTTATTCGTTCTATGTACAGGATAATTTTAATGTTACCGAACACGTTTAAAGAGTTAATACCTTTTTTGAATTTATCCAAAATTAATGCTGAGAAAAAAACCACTTTTTTCCAAAAATAAAAACGCACTTGGGGCAGATATATACAAAAAGGCTTCTTAACTGTATTTCGCAGATACATATATACACTGTGAAAAAAAAACAGGAATAAAACCACATTTTACAGAAACCAAATATATCCAAATGTTATTTTTTAAAATTTCTCTTCCAACTGTACTAAAAAAAGTCGATTTTCTTATTTTTAAGTACCGTTTATCTCATTTTGTTTTTGTTTCGTTGAAAAAATATTTGTTCCATACATCCATTCTACATTCGTACGATATTTTCTTCTTTTAAGAAAAATTTCTTCGATTTTTTGTACTTTCAAAAAAAAAAAAATTTTAGCTGGCAGATCGAAAAAAACTTATTTATTTTTAAGTGGGCCTTAAAAAGGTTTTAACTTATTTTTATATTGAGCAAAAATGATTTTTAAATGATGTAAATAAAAATTCGAGAAAAAATAACTTTTTGGAGATTAGATTTTTATGTTTTTTAATTTTTCTCTAATTAGCGTTAATTTTTGACAAGTTTTATGTCAATTTTTAGTTAATGACCAAAATTATTATCGACTCTCATTCCCCAGCCATCTCTGACGCTCTTTTTTTTCGATCATACGATATAATACATCATTGAGTTTTTGTTAGAAAAAAACACTGTCAAAATCTTGTCCGCCAGCTTGCTTCATATTTTCTCTAACGCTTTTTTGATTTTCTTAAAAAATAATAAAAAAAAAACATAATAATCACAGTACAAATTGCAAAAAAAAATAAAAATTATTGCTAAACATACAGGTCCGGCCAATTGTAAATTTTTTCTATCTCTTTTTTATTAAATAAAAAATATTATAGTAACTAAAAAATATATATTTTTTCCTTGGTTGACTAAAATTTAGTTTTTGGTATAAATGGTTGGAATTTTTTTTAAAAAGTTCGAAAAGAAAAATATATTATTATTATTTCAAATTCTCCTATGGTCATTCACTCCTCAGTATTTTCAATATACTCTCTAAAAACAATGATTTCCTATGTACATCTTAAGTAGACTTAGAAAAGAAATGCCTTAAATCATACTCTCTCTTGACTTAAAACATTTCTTCTGTTATTTTTAACACTTAACCTAACATTCTTAAAACGACTTTTTGTAGTGGTGCACTTGTAAAGTGCGATATATAAATGATAAATGCCGTGGGCATTGTTTTATCTATACTGAACACCAACTTGTATTTTGTTAATTTAAAAAAGTTTTTTGGCACATTTTTCATTCTCTACTACAACGAAAATAATATTTTTAAAACATTCTTCTTTTGTTCTACGCATCTACTAATATACCGGGTGTTTCATGAGATTTTCTTTGATTAGGTAGGCGATGCAACACCCAGTATATTTATTTTATCGATATAAAAACATATAGTGTGACAGATAAAGGTCCGCATGCAGAAATGTATCATTAATTTTATCCCATTCAAAAATGAATGGGATAAAATCCCATATTGACGAATTAAATGGGATAAATCCCATAATAATAGAAGATTTAAAGAGATTTGGTTTTACCTTAGGTGAAATATTACTTGTGATAGATTTATCACAACAACTGGCTAAAAATGAGTTTTTTTATAATACCCTCTTTTTAATTTGATTTGGGATTTTGATGGGAAAGTTTTTCGTATTCTTGAGTCAATTTTTTTACAAACAACTTTGTTATTTCTTTAAAAACTATTTATTTATTTTATAAATTTATGATCACTAGATAAATATTAGGCTAGCATCACTATTTTTTTTTCTACCTGGATATTTTACTGCCTGAAGTTTTATCCCGTTCAAAAATGAATGGGATAAAATTCCATACAGACGAATTAAATGGGATAAATCCCGTAATAATTGAATGGGAGTTTAAATGGGATAAATTTCATATTTTGAGATTTTGTTAAAAAAGTCATTTTTAACCAATAGTAGCCGATTCTCTACGTGGAAGTTTATCTGTGACACTATATACATTAAACAAACTATCAGAAATTTAAAAAGTGTGATCTTCAATTATCAGTAATAATAAAAAAGAAGAAAAACTAAGACAAAAAGACTAAATCGAAATCAAACTATTATATTTATTGGCATAAGCTGAGTGTTCAGTAGTAACTGAATTCTCATGGTTGGTTACTTGAGTTCTGTTGCTGACTCTGCTGCTGTTGCTGCTGTTGTTGCATGTTGTTTTGCAGATTCTGTTGCAGATTTTGCTGTAGGTTCTGCTGCAGGTTCTGAAGGTTGCCTGTGCTGCCCAGGGAGAACCCTAGTGACCTGGGATCGCTGCCGTGCAGTCTTAGGGCCTGTTCGAGCCTTTGCTCTTGAAGCCGGAGGGCCTCGGTGAGATCAGGACTGAGCTGTTGAGAAGGTTGGGTCTGGTGCCCTTGGTAGTGCCCTGTAACAAGGAGAAGATAGAGATTTAATTAAAAAGGTATATTTTGAATTGTATAGACTTATAGAAAATTTAAATATTAAAATTATATATAGCAATAGAAGAGGTGTTTTATTCAACTGATTTAAGTGAAGCATATTCTGTGTTTAAATTAGCGATAATACGTGATTTAAAAATACAAAAAGTACGTAAAAATAAAAGACAAAGTTCTTATAAACATATTTCATGATTAAGTAACAGTCCTTGAGATCCTTTACAGCCCTTACAGCCTTTACTTGAAACAAGTCTTGTAAATTTTTAAGATATACTGACACCTTTGAATAAGAAGACTAAGGAAGGAGCATAATGCTATCCATGTATTCATGCATGGTGGGCGGAAAAGCCACCATAAAAGCTCTCTAGGGTGGGGATCCTTGACAGTTCTGTTTGACGATTCATTTGACACATTTGAATTTGATTTGAAATTTTGAGGATTTGTCAGTCTTTACGGAGCTTATTTTATGTTATTTATTATTTATTCTACTACTGATAGTTGTATAAAGGTAGTAAATCTAGATGGAAATTGTGGCAGAACTTAAATTAACAGTGACACTATCGCGATTTATCGAAAAAGACTCTAAAATAGTTGGTTGTGTAGCGTGCGGTAGATCTCGGCAAAAAATTGAGTGAAATAATGGAACAACTTTTCACTAGTAAGTGACTATATAATATACATACGTGTAGTAAACCGATCATTTATGAAATTCACTTAAATTAACTAAATTATATATTTTTCTTGCATTTTAGCTTTTATTTATTACTTGTCAAAGATTAGATGTCAAGAATTTAGATACGTTAATTTGACTTACCTGCTTCAGTAGCGTATCGGATGTTTGTGTTAATAAATACTTATTATAACTTATCTATTTTTATTAGAATTATATATTTTTATAACAATTTTAATAACTACCAACATTTATTCCCAACGTAAAATAAAACAACAAATTATTGAGTCTACCCCACGTCTACCTTACATCATAGTTTTACATTTTTTAAATAAAATTAGAACGACACTGATAAACCGGAATTTAAGTCGGCCATATTTGAGGCCTATCGCGGTGTACCTAAGATTTTTGATATGCTCCTTCCTTAGTCTTCTTATTCAAAGACTGACACTGAGTTGATTTTTTAAAGAATTTGTTGACAATTTTAGACTTTAAAAAGGAATACTAGAGGTAGTGGTTGATATAATATATGTCAAATAACATGCTCAATTTTTATACAAACAAATAATTTTATACAATTTTTTTACTACAGAATTTATGAAAAAATAAAAATAAAAAGTAGAAAAAAAATAAACAAAAAACTTACTTAAATTACAAAATGGTCCCTTTTATGGCCAAAAAGGCGCTATGTGCCTTTCTAAAAAAAAATAAAAAAATAAAAACATAAGCAAAACAATAATAAAGCCAAGCAAACAAAATAAAATTAATCATACACTAGAAATAATTTAGACAACATATTTAAAAATGTGTGTTATTATATTTTTTAGCCATTATTCTTTATTAAGCAGATATACTGAATTTTACCCTAATATTCAACTATACAGGGTGTTAAAATTATGTCCAATATTTACTTTGGTTGAATTACTTATTGAAAATTATTAAACCAAACTCAAAAAATACGTAGTATTTAGTAATTCTATATCAATGGACTATTGAGACACTCCATGTACTCATCAAAAGCATTGTCTATATTATACCCAGCATACGACACTCGAAAAAATCACACTCACCGTTGTGACGCAACGGACTGTGATTGTTCTCTTGCTGATGTTGATTGAGCTGAGGCAACGCCTGGTGCATGGCTAGCCTTAAGGCAGCTTCCGCTTGCGACCTGATGACAGCCTCCTGCATTCTCAGCGCCTCCTGCGCTGCTGATTGCTGCGCGGTTTGTTGCGACGCCTGCGACATATCCATCACGCTGTTGCGCATCACGTCCATGCGCATATCCATCGATGCGCGCATGGCGTTCATGGCGTTCACCGATAGAGACGAGAGCGCTTCGTTGGTGATCGGAGGCGTCGATGGGTTTGACGAATTGTTCACTTGGTTAGCCTGTAATAAGTTTATTTATCGGTTATTGTTGTGTCTACAGTACAAGATGCTGATAAGGATCTTGAATAGTAAAACCTCTCGTTAATTGATTGTGATAAGTTAAGAAAGGTTTTAAGAAATATATTTTTTTTCAATCTTGGCACTACTAGGGCCAATCCTAGGGATAGAAAGAAATTGCTTTATTGTCATAAAAAAATTTTACAATTTTGTTGACAAAGCTTACAAAAAAAAAGAATATAAAAAACATACAAAACTTCACTTAACAATAGAAAAACATATAAAAACTAACAGCAAACATACAAAACTAAAACAATACTTTATACAATTATAGAAATTGTACATTGTCAAAAATTTATTTAATTAAATATAAATAAAATATAAACATACATGTAAATAAACAGCTGTATATAATGTCAATACTAAATTTAAATGGATAGAAAACAAAATCATTTCTTAAATTTAGTGAATGTGTGTTAAATTTAGAACCCTAGATATTAATAAAAAAATCGTTAACCGCGTAAAAGGCTTTCTCCAGTAAGTATGATCTCAAGGCTCTGCGAAATGCAGGAAAGGATGAAATGGAATTAATTTCAGATGGCAGATGATTGTGCATTTTTTTGCATTGTACAATATGGAACTCTTTACTAACTCAGAGTGAGGGGTTGGCAGATACATGTTATGCTCTGCGTTCCTAATTGGATAGCCATGAACTGGCCCTAGAGAAATACTCGATACGTGCTTGCGAACTAGGCAGACGGATTCGAGTATGAATAGGGAAGGAAGAGTTAATATTTTATATCTTTTAAACAAGTCCCGGCAGTGAGCACGACTGGTTAGCCTCAGTGAATATCGCACAGCTCTCTTTTGTAATTTGAAGATACGCTCAAATTGAGTCGCACAACACGCACCCCAGAATGGAAGTGCGTATCGGAGATGCGACTCAAAAAGGGCATAATAGACTGTCCTAGATGTTGACAAATTAAGCACATTAGCAACTGATCTAAGTGCGAAACAGGCAGAACTTAATTTTTTAGCTAAAGCATCGATGTGCAAATCCCATTTTAAATAGTTGTCCACAACAAGGCCTAAAAATTTCACAGAATCAACGACGTCAATGGTGGTATTATCAAGTTGAAAAGGTAGCAACGTACTTTTATATGATAAGACTTTAGTTTTAGAGACGTTGAGACACAGATAATTAGAATCGCACCATGTTTTTATGTTGATTAAGTCACTGGAAATGGTTCTATGAAGTGCCGTGGTGTCCGGGCTGCTCCATGTGAAACAAGTATCATCCGCGAAGAGACAGATTTTACCACTGATGTCCAGACTAGCAATATCGTTGATAAACAACAGAAACAAAATAGGACCTAGCACTGAGCCCTGAGGTACTCCGCATTCTATTGGCTTGCAAGAAGACACAGTCTTATCAACCCTCACACGCTGGTTTCTGTTGTTAAGGTAGGACTTAAACCATTCAAGAGGCGTTCCCCTGATACCATAGTACTGCAATTTGTTAGTAGGATGTTATGATTAACACAATCGAAAGCTTTCGAGAAATCACAGAAAATTGTTGCTGTAACGAGACGGTTGTTCAGACTGGAGTATACATTATTAAACAGCGAAAACATAGCGTCATTTGTACATTTGTTACTCAAGAACCCAAACTGAAAGGGGGTGAGTATTTTGTATTTTAGAAGAAATGATACAAGCCTCTTTTTAACCAGTCTCTCCATGATCTTCGATAACGTGGGAAGGAGTGCAATTGGACGATAGTTGGAAGCTTGCTCTTTATCACCTCCTTTATGCAAAGGAATAATTATCGCCGACTTAAGGCAATTTGGAAAAGCACCATCTTCAAATGACATATTAATTAAGGCTGAAAGATGGTTTAATGTACATTCCGGCATACTAGAGAACATTTTAAGAGTAAGTCCGTCAGTCCCTGCTGAAGATTTATTTTTAATATCATTTAATGTATTGCGAAGCTCTGCCAACCCCACAGGCGTAAGGAAGAAACTGTGCAAATTAACATTATAGTCAGAGAGAAATGATAGAGGATCAAGGGAGGGTGAGATAGTATTCACTATATTCTTCGCCACATTTACAAAGTAATTGTTTAGGTCCTCAGGTGAAGTTGAGGTTATGTTGGACGAAGAAACCTTACTCCTCAAGTCATTCACAATCGACCATGTTTCTTTGGCAATATTACCGGACTCAGTCAACCTCCTATTGCAATAGATGTCCTTGGCGGCTTTTATAGCCTTATGGTAAATTTTCCTGTAAAGTTTCACGTACTCGTGACGATATCCCGATATCCCGCTTCCCGATAAACGATATCCCACTGGTTATGAACACAATAATTATTGGCATTACAGATCGCAGTGTGTTAATATTGAGGAGATTGGGAACATTAAAAGGAATAATTTAATTGAATCTTGTGTACTTACTTGTGTAACACCAAGCCTCATAGCTAAACTTGCGATGTTTGCAATGTTTGTTGCTGGATCCGAGCCTAAATTAGGCGGAACACCTCCTTGGTTTACCATGTTGGCTATAACAGCCATCCGATTGGCCTGGATTTGATCCTCCATATTGTACTGCTGATGCAAACCGTTATTACCTGAAATTGAGTAGTAAAAAGTTGTTATAAACAGATATAATATATTTTGCGATATATTAATAAAAATAACACTTACTTCTTAATATATCGCCTAACTTAGTGTTACAATTATTGTTATTGTTATTTAAGCCTCCAGCTTCTGAGCCAGCTGATGATAACCTTCCATTACCAGAAGAGCTGTCGCTATGAGCGCTAGGTGATGCGCAGATAGGAGACCCAGTTGCTGAAAATAACATTAAAACATTTTTTAGTATCGTTTATAAAAATATCTTCAAAGTTATGTGATATTTTCTTTGATTTTATTAGTTAATATACAGGGTCTTTTTTAAGATTAGTGTATTACCTGCTCCCATAGGAAGACCTAGCAAACCGCTACCACTAGCTGTAGCTGAAACAGCTGCTAATAGTGTCTCCCTCTCTCTTCTCTCCGCAGCTGCTCTTGACAAAACGTACTGCGCAGCGAACTGATGTTTTGGATCCATGCGCATATGTTCCATGTGGCTTAAAAGTCCTGTTAAAGAAAAAAACACAAAAATGTAGTTCAGGATTTTTGGGTTACTATAACTTAATAACATCAATAGCAACAGATTTGAAATAAAATAATGATTAACAATGTTATTACGGTTGCTATTGATTTTTTCTGCATAGTTTTGACATTTTCTATTTTTTTATATATACAGGGTCGACTAATTTATAAAAACACACTATCTATAGTTCAGTGTGAAAATAAAGATTAGTTTCTTCTATCAAAATAGCTTGAAAGTGATACCGTATGATCGAAAAAAAACGGTGTCAAAAACTGCTGGGTAATGACAATCGATGATGTTGAGGTCACTCTCTAGATGTCATTTACTAGAAACTGACTAAAAAAGATAGAACTTTTCCAATAGAACGTTAAATTACACCATTTGAAAAACATTTTTACTCAATCTAACAATAAATTACAATGTACTTAAGGGAAAAACCGGAAGAAATAGCCATTAAAAAAATAAAGAAGAGTCTAGGGCTTGATCTCGCCAAAATTATCATCGATTTTTATTCTCCAGCCGTCTGACGCCGTTTTTTTTCGATCGTATGGTACGTTCTAGTCGACCCTGTAGACTCCCTTTGTCCACATATGTGTTCGGTATGAAACTGAAAAAAATAGTCAACATCATGCAAACAAATCGAAGTGTCTACACTGTCAAAAAATTTATATATAAAAATATATAGATAAATACATAGTAACACGACATCAAAGTATGGAGGAAAGTGCCAAAAAGTCCTGATGTATCTAGGAAAACGAAAATAAAAAATAAAAATGTAAAATTAAAATAATATATAAAGACTGGGGGTTGCTTATTTTTGAAGCCCTTACACATATGTGGACAATTTGAGCGGTTTTTGAATGGTTTCATTGTTTTTGGTTGCATTGATTTTAAGTCCCTAATCGTTTTGTAATTGTTAAAAATATTTCTTTTGAAGAGTATACAGTCTGTTGCATTGCCTTCCTAAACATAGGAAATAGCACGTAAATTTTAAAAATGATGAATAAGTTTTCCCCATTTTATTTTACAGAAAAAATATATTTAAAACTTTCTAAAGAACTGCTCATTTTGAATGATTTATACGAATTCGTTCTTGAATTATGAGAGATATAAAAAAACATATTAATAAAAAAATACTGTCCTGATAAGAATAACAAACATGCCACCTTCAAATTCAATCTTTTAACGTCAAATAGACTTTATTGTTGCCAAAAACAATTTAAAAAGAAATAACTCTTTAGTGTCATATTGATTCGATACGTGCAAAATATAATTTGTAAATTTAAATAACAGAATTTACAATAACTAAAGAAAAAAAAAATAGTTTCTTGGTATTATAGATGAAAGAGTCTACAGGCTGTAAAGGATTTGTTTTTTTTTCCAAATATGCCAGACTAGTTATCGAAGACTATAAATGTAAGAGAAGAATTCCAACACAAACAGTTATTAAAGACTGTAGATATAAAAAGAAGATTAATATTGATGAGGATCATGCAGAAATAATAAAAATGAATTAAATATTCTATTACAAGTGGAATATGTAAGCCAAGAATGTATCAGAATACTTGGGGAAATAGTCGAAAAACATCGTACCAATGTTTGGCGAATTCGGAAGAAGAATTGTAGTGTAATATATCATTAAAAGTCATTTAAATATTCCGAACAGTACTTAATTTTGTGAATTGTTTAGTGTTGAATAAATAAATTTTCTTTTGAAGCAGTTTGGGTACTTATCTACAAAATGCATTTAATTTTTTAAAGGTTCTATTACCCCTTACAGTATACTTTCTGTAACTTTTCGTAGAGATTATAACTTAGGATGCGTTTGACAGATATTTAGAAGAAAATCATAATAGATTTGCCATAATAGTTATGTTTGTTTGACCAGGACAGGATTATATTAATTTTCGAAATAAAAAGTTTCAAATACCTTTTTCTGTAAAACAAAATGGCGAAAATTTACTCATCATTTTTAAAATTGGCATAAAATTTCCTACGTTCAGGCAAAAATAAACCACTCAAAAACCGATCTTTGATGCCTAAACTCTCCCTAAACTTAGAGAAGGAAACCTCCCGACTGTATGTGAGTGAGTGAGTGAGCTGGATACCTGATTCGTGAGTGAACACCGCCTGACAAACCGAACAAGGCCACATACGCAACGAATTGGACAGTTGCGACGTTTCGGGATGGCAAGCCAGGTGTTTCCTCAAAGATCCCTCGTTAACGTAGTGCTTCCCGCACACGGGACAAGGATGATTGGCCGTCCTCCTTTTGGCTAAATAAGGATCGATGACGTCAACAACAGAGAGAAAAAAAGATCAAGCAAAGCACCCCAGGATACCTTATCAAAAGCAATATTATATATAATATTATAGTTCAAGTTTTTTTTGGTTAGTTTTTAAAGTACTAAAACGAGGTAATCTACAACCGTGACGTATGCAGGGTCTAGTTCACTGTCTCTATGTGTTAAATCATTCCAACTAAATGTTCTTTTCGGTATATTAACGGAAATATTTTTTTTACAAAGAAGTGTAAATCATGTACAATCAAGTTATGAAAGTTTTTTTAATTTTACCTAAATAATTATTGTTTTTCTATATACAGGGCGAGTCTTAATTAAATGCACATATTTTCAGGGCTGGTAGATTTCGGTAAAAGACACATATCTTATCTTTACTGTTTTTCAAATCACTCTAAAATAACTGAGATATTTTATTATTTTTTGTTTAAATTTTAAAAACCACTGGATTTTTCTGTGTTTTCTTTACTCTTAAGCCTCGTTTACCACCACAAAATTAGTGGAATAAATTATTGGTTTCAATTAGCGTAGAAGTTTGTACCACTAATTTTAATTTAAGCATTCAGAACGTCAACATTAGTGGTAGTAATTTTTAGTTAGTAAAAAAAATAGAAACTTCTAACTTTTCGGTTAATTATACTTCAAAATTTGCGAGTAATGACATTTTTGGTCTTTGGTCAAAAGTTTATTGTTTTATAAGCTAATTATTAGGCTTTCTCTATGGATGCAACTGACTACACCAAGTATGTTGTTGCTAAGATATTCTATTAATTTTAATTGGCAATAGAAAACACTAATTTTGAAGTTCAGATTGAAGCTTAACTTGTGTTGTTATTTTATCAAAATATTATGTTTTTTAACTGAAATATATTTAAAAAACAAGATATTCCTGGAATATTTCTATCCCAGTGTTTCTGGGTTGCTGGATTGAAATACACCACCTCTAAAAATAGTGCACTTATTTAAGACTCACCCTGTATACAGGATGACCCGTTATTCCGTGAAAAGAGAACTACCACGTATTTTTGGAGTCAAAATGCGTTAATTGAACACTATTTAACGTTAAACAATTTTAACTTTATGTAATTTGTTAAAAATATTTTTTGAGACACTGTCATACCATTAGACATCTTTGCCAACTAAACTATTATCGTCTACTATATTTAAGCGCTTGATTTAGCAAGAAATATTTTTTGGAACTTTTTTTTTCTCAAAAACACTTAAGAGAGTACAAAAATGTAGTAAATACCAAAAGGGAATATTTTTACGAAAAATATGTGATTGATTTGTTGATATGATTCCAAAAATATGTAGTAGTTTTATCAATCATAATCAACAAACCTTTAAAAAGAAATTCAGATTTATCAAAGACATGCTAATCATATACACGATAATTATGAATGTAAACATTTTATTTTAAAAATTTAGTTGGATGTATATTATGTAACAGTGAACTACCCTGATATCGATATAATACACAACTGTAAATACAAATTCCCTAAATTTAGGGAAAATTTAACACAGTAACTGTGCAAGGGCGGAGTTTTTTTAAAGTATAATTAAATTATATCGATATATTTAATAAAAAATTAAATTAAAAAGTGAAAATAACTGATAAAACCAGTCGTATTAGCAAATATTTTATCAGTTACTGGTTGTGATTGGTTAGACAGGCAAAAATAAGCAACTAATTGGAGGACAGGTCCGCTTACAAAGCAATAAAAATAAATAAAAATTAATAAAATAACCAGTTTTAACATGCAAACATGCAATTACTTGTCAGATTTTGTTTATATTGTTAATTCTATATGTCTACGTTGATTCAAATTGGATTTATTTGTATCTAGTTCACGTAGAAAAAGTTTTATATATATAAAAGAGCCGTATGATCAAAAGAAGACGGTTGGGAAGTGACAATCGATTATAATTTTGTCAAGGTCAATCTCTAGACGTCATTTGCGAAAAATTAACTAATTAGTCACTAGAAAGATTAAAAAAGGATAGAACGTTCCCAGACACACAAATATAATAGTTAATGGGTCAAGTAATGATGTCTAGAGCTTGACCTCGCCAAAATTATGATCGACTGTCGTTCCCCAGCTGTCTTGACGCCGTTTTTTTTCGATAGTATCGTATTTTATTGATATGTCTAGTATTACATGGGATAAGTATGAAAAACTAGAAGAAAAATATTTTGTTTGTTAATTTTTCCAGGAAAATGCAATCTATTAAATTTTGATAGCTTAAAAAAAGGACATTTTCAATTTTTCTGTGTTAATTTTTCTTTTATCTTGCTGTCGATTTAAATAATGACGAGAGGAAAAAATAAACATGGTGTTAAGATGAACGAGACGGCATCGGAAACAAAAATGCTTTCAACTTTTGAATGGCTCCCAGAAGAAAAAACCCTTTTATATTTTTAAGTGCTCTCAAGACAGACGATGATTTATTATTGATAGCCATCGAGTTAACTTTCTTTTAGTTATTCTTTCGGCCGATTTCCGCATTCTTTTAGTAGCAAGAAGGGGTAGGGGGAATAAATATGATCAGCTGTGAGTGGAGCCCTAACTTCAAAAAAAAGTCTTTAATGATATTTTTTTTTCTATTGTAAATTTTTTTCTATATGTAAAATAAAGAAGAACTTTTCTCAATTTTTACTCAATTCAAACCAAAAACTTATCGCATTATTTTTTTTTTGTTAGAAGTCTAAAAAAAACTTTAAAAAGCTATTAATTTCATGCTGTAAGTATAATGTATCTTATAAGTGTTCATTTAGGCTATACAGGGTTGTCCGAACTGTATGCCGGAAACTTCGACAGCATGTGCGCAGTTTCGGAAATACAGGGTGTAGAAATTTCATTTTTATTTTTATTTTTTCCAAATAATTTCTGAAGTAACGTCAATATTTGGATGAAAAATGGTATCTGGGAGTTTTTTGACATGAGAAATTTGATTTTGATGTCAACATGGCTTCTATTTGTAGGGGGCGCCACCTACATGTGTTTTAACTGTTGTGAAGGGTAAGAAAATTTTCATCCATACCTGTATAAAAAAAAACTATTGAGTAAAAAATACACATTTCCGTTATTTTTTACGTAAAAGATGTCTATTGGTAGTCAATACATGTCAATGTTGACTAAAAATAAACATGTTGAGTAGATAGTTATTTGATTGAAATGATAAATTTTCTGAACTTCTTATTTTTTTAAATTAATCATCAATTTTTCTTCTTTTTCATAAACAGCACTTTTGGCACTAATAACTATTTACTCAGCATGTTTAATTTATGTCAATGATGACAGGTATTGATAATTTTGATTCCAAATATCTCGAGAACCATTATTCGTAGCGATTCTTACCAAGAGACCTTTTTTACGCAAAAAACATCGCAAATGTATATTGTTTTACCCGCTAGTTTTTTACAGGTACAGACGAAAAGTTATTACTCTCCAAACTATTTAACAAAAATATGTAGGTGGCGCCTTCTACAAGTAGGGGTCATATTGACATCAAAATCGAATTTCTCATGTCAAAAAACTCCTAGACACCAATTTTCATCCAAATATTGACGTTGCTTCAGAAATTATTTAGAAAAAATCAAAATAAAAATAAAATTTGTACACCCTGTATCCCCGAAACAACTCATTTTAAGATATACAGATTTATACGATTTTTTTACTTATTTTTATCAGCAGAACATGCTGCCGAAGTTTCCGGAATACAGTTCGGACCACCCTGTATATTGTTGCTAATAAGTAAATATTAAACGTCCACGGCTACACTACTCGCGAAGTTTTCCGAAGTTGTATGAAGAGCATACTTCGTATTTTTTTATGCAACGTTACTTCGAATTCGTGCAGTCTCTACTTCGTGTTGATCCCTGAAAACGACTCAAGGAAATCGAGAGGTTCTGAAGTTCAACAACGCTGTGCAGGCGACTTCGGGTGTTTCTCCAGGTTGCACGATTGCGTGTAAACGTACTTCGAACTTATATCAAGTACTTCGACTAGTAGGTACTTCATCCAGGCAACTTCGCGAGTAGTATATTATTTACATTTTTTGTGGAACATTTTCAAATTATTTTAGAATAAAATAAATACTTCACATAATATACGTTTAAAGAACTACCTACCCATGCACTACAGAGCATGCTTTAGTACTAACCAATTTTTTTAAATGTGGACTTATCTCAAATTGTCATATAATAGAGTACAATCAAATATTAGTTATTAAAGTAGATTTATTTATATAATTTATATAATACTACACTCAAATCTTAATGAAAAATTAATAAAAATAGTTATAAAATAAAAAAACGCCGACTTTTTACACAAAAGGAGAAATTTTTACAAAAAGCCTATCTATTTTCAGTCACTTTGCAAAAAGCCTAATCAGAATTAGGCATATTAAACAATGACGATATTTTCTGTACACTTCTGCAAACAAACTGCCTGTTTTCAATCATTTTACACAATGCCAAATCGAGAATAGAGCCCAGGCAGATTAAAAAACGATCAAAGTTTAGTCAGCTATGAGCATAAGCATATTGAATAATTTACGCTTTAATAAAAAAAAACCATATTTTCCTATACAAAAACAATAATTATTTATGTCAAAATTTTATTATGCTGAGACGAAATCAACAATCCTATTTCATAAATTTTAATTATAAATAACATAATTTATAACTAATATCACATTAAGATATTATATCGATTCTGTGTACAGGGCTGCTTCTTTGTGGAACTTTGCTTTCTTTTAGAATAAAATGAATTTAGATCTTTGTAATAATCATCCTCAACCATACTCTATTTAACAGAATTATCACTTTTTGTACCATTATTTTCAAATTTTGAAAAAGAAGTTTTAGAAATGTCGTTGGATAAATTTAGGTTAGTTATACCAGTCCCGCGTAATATGTTTTGTGCAATCTGACTAGTCTTCATTAGGCATTTTGCAAAGCGACTGAAAACAGATAGGCTCTTTGTAAAATATCCTTCTTTTATTATTGGTAGTCTTAATACCCAAATTTTAAGTTATTGACCTCTATGGAACGAATAAGAAAAATCCACATTTAAACCTCGACCATTTCAGTGGTATAAATAAATATATATTCTTCTCCAGCGAACTAAGGTACTTACTGGCTACACCCGACGCGTTGGGGTCTTTGTGAGTGTGTTTCATATGCTCCATCAGCGCCTCCCCTCCCAGGAACATCTTGTGGCACAACGGACAGGAAGTGGCGTTGGGTCCACCGATCAAAGCTGCATGTTGCTGCAAACGACCAAGACACTGTTGACAAAATCCCACGTTAATTTTGTCTATTACGAATCAGATTTTTGATGGTTGCGGGTGGGGCACCATGATTTAGCTTCGAGTTGCTTATTAGAGTGCATTTCGATTGACGATTGTCTTGCAAGGGAAAAAATTGTATTCCGTTTCTAAGCTTGGCAATGGTTTTCTGTTTCGTTTTTTGGGATAATAGATATGTTTTAGGAGCCCTTATCAAGCTGGTAAACTTGGTAAAACAACGAAATACAGCTTTACTGTATACTTATAGTTTTATAAAATAGTTTCTCGGATAGTAGGTATGATAATATGTTGAAGTTTTTTTTTGTTCAAGCCATTGATATTTTCTATTAATTCATGGAAGTTTTCTTTGTGACTTTTTTAAATATTTTTAATGCCTGTTTCACCGGAAATGACAACTTTTGATTTTTGAATAGCACCCTCGCTATATTTCTACTTTATTCGATAGAAAATGACATTCTGAATAGAATGTCATTTTCATCATATGTCAACTTTTGACATTTTCGCATATGGTTTATCTGAAATTGTAACATGCCGTTCATAAAGATAATTTGACTCAAAATATGAAGTGTGTTGTACCAAATTATTCGTAAAAAAATGCTTTTTCCAAATATGCTAATGAGCCACCCTTGTTTCATTTGAAAAAATTGAGATATGATTAAAAATACGACTTAGGCATCTTTTAACCGGCCAGTACCAAGCACGAAAAACATTAGACGATCAAATGTATTTTTTCAAGGCTCCTTGATGAAAAATTAGTGTTTTTAACATAGCCATGGCACGCTAGATTGAAATTTAAAATACGATTTTGTTTTAAGCGTTAATATCAAAAATTGACAAAGTACATGTCATTCTACTCAGAGTGTCATTATCTAACAAATGAAGTAGAAATATACTGAGGGTGCCATTTAAAAATCAAAAATTGTAGTCATTTCCGGTGAAATAGGAAGTGACCAGAAACAATTGAATATGTCAATCAATCCTAATTTATGTCGTATACTCACATACCAAATCTCGTTTTTTTAGCTGAAAAAATAAAAAAGTTACAGGGGTGAGCCACTTTCGAGACGCACCCGGTTTCGGGTTTTTAACCAAAGTTTCACTAAATAAAAAAAACCAAATCGCATAATGCTGGAAATGAAAATAGCGTACTATATGCAGACTTTTACGTTGAATCCAAATCTGTCCAGAAAAATTGGGAATGCAATTAAAAAAAAAAACTTAAAACTTCATCATAACTTTTTTTAGGCCACCCTGTATACGGAATTTGATATCTATAGGAAAAATACGACCACACGCAGATATATTCCTAATGAATCACATCATAGTGTTGAACATAAAATGGCTAGTTTAAATTTCTTAGTTCATAGATTACTTAGTTTCCCACTTTCCAACGAAAGATATGAAATAGAAAGAGATTACATTAGGAATGTAGCTGAGTGTAATGGATATTCTCCTTCACTAGTTGATAAATTAATTAGAAAACGTAGGTATAGGTTAATGATTTCTGAAAATTCGACTTTTCAAGTGGAGAAAGACACGTCTAAATATTTTTCGATGCCGTTTGATAGAGAGTTATCCCGTGGTCTAAAAGGAATTTTGAAGAATGTAAATTATAAACTTGTGTATAGTGCTAATAATAAATTACAACAATTATTAGGTAATCCAAAGGATAAAACACCTCCACTGGAAAGGTCGGGTATTTATGAAATTTCTTGTAAAGATTGTAATCAGAAATATGTTGGGCAAACTAGAAAATCAATATTAACTAGATTTAAAGAACATTTAGCTCAGATAAGATATGGTAAACCGGATAAATCTTGCGTTGCCGAACATATTGTTCATAAAGAACATTGTATAGATCTTAATAATTTAAAATTAATTAAACAAGTCTCAAATTACAGGCAATTAGATGCATATGAAAGCATCAGAATTAATAAATGTAAAGATAGTATGAACAGAGACAACGGTCCATTTCCTTCAAGTTCTTTGTTCCTACTACTCTAGTGGCGGAAATCTAACTGTTACGCTCAGTGGGTTCTGCCTCGGTTGGCTAGATTTTGCCACGCCCACTCGGTGCCCACTGGGCGAGTATATAAACGCCCAACTTGTAGATTGTACTTTAGTTTATAATCATCTGCTGATGATGCTAACATGGTTAGCGAAACGCGCGTCCAGTGTAAAAGTAAAAGTGTTTTGGTGTATTGTGGTGATTTAGTGTTTTTATTTTGCTGTGTAACACCAAAGGTTCCAACCCTCAACTGTAATTAACATAGTCAATCAAATTAACTTCTAGATAAATTTACGGATATATACACTCAATCTGAACATTTTAAGCTACTTTTCGGTCCCCTCGTAAAGGTGGAAAGATCAATCGCAATTAACATAGAGCCGTTGGGGCCGAAGTTTAGAAAAAGCTCGAAAGAAGACAATAAAATCGCTAACGATCGCAACCGTTTTCCCGTGCGAACCGCAGCAAAAGCCGAAGATGGCTGAAGTTAAACGCCGAACTGGCTAAAAATCGCTTTCACCGGCTGCGTTCAAATTCTCAAGCGGTGCTGCGACGCTGAAAAAATCGCCCAGAAGGTACCATCCTCTTCCACGCTCATATTTTCTAACGAACGATAATTAAAAGCTTATTTCTTTCGGCTGCAGCGGAAAATATGGCTCGTTAATAAAAAATGCGCGAGCAAATCTGCTAGAGAATACAGGTAATTACACCAAAGTGGGAAAGGCAGAGGCGGCGACAAAAAAATTTCCAAAAATATACAAGCAAAATATTAATAATTATCCTTTTATCTACGTTTTGGCAATAGTTTGGTTTGGTTGGTCTTTATATAATCAGAAAAACATCAGTAATTTTTTATGGTAAAAAATATGTTTCCTACAGATTATACTGAATTATTTGTGTCAAAATAGTCTACATTTTCGTGTTCTACCGCCATTTAATTGTTAAATAATAGTAGTTTCATCAAAATTTTGAGAGTATGTGTGGAAAAAGTAAAAAAACTGCCCATTTTTGGCTATTTTTTAAAGCTATTTTCAAGGGTCTTATAAAAATAGTAAACATGATTGTAAAATTATTTAAATTTCAGCGTTTGTAGAAAATTTTATGTAGATTTAGAATATTCAATTGTTTAATAGTTTAGGCGTTTTGGTTTTGTAAGAAAGTGGATTTTTGGAATTCTTGTTTTCAAACGGTTTTTCTTGGGAAAAAAGTCGAAAAACTGCCCATTTTTGGCTATTTTTTTCAGGCTATTTTCAAGGCTCCTATAAAAATAGTAAACAGGGTTTTAAAATTATTAAAATTTTAGCATTGGTAGGAATTTTATATAGATTTAGAATATTTAATTATTTAAGTGTTTTGGCCTCATAAGAAATTGGATTTTTTGAATTATTGTTTTCGAACGATTTTTCATGGAAACTAAAATGTCACTTACAGGTCGTACTGAACTTGTAATGACAAAATGGCCTATTTTTTCGTGTTCTACTCCTTTTATTTGCTAAATAACAGTAGTTTCACTAAAATCCACATATTTCATGAGTATATCTATAAAAAAAGTCGAAAAACTGCCATTTTTTTAAGGCACTTTTCATGGCTCTGATAAAAATAGTCAACAAGGTCGTAAAAATATAAAAATTTCAGTATTTGTAGTAAATTTCATGTAGATTTAGGATATTTAATTGTTTAATAGTTTAAGCGTTTTGGTTTTGTAAGAAAGTGGATTTTTTGAATTCTTGTTTTCAAACGGTTTTTCTTGGGAAAAAAGTCGAAAAACTGCCCATTTTTGGCTATTTTTTTCAGGCTATTTTCAAGGCTCCTATAAAAATAGTAAACAGGGTTTTAAAATTATTAAAATTTTAGCATTGGTAGGGATTTTATATAGATTTAGAATATTTAATTATTTAAGTGTTTTGGCCTCATAAGAAATTGGATTTTTTGAATTCTTGTTTTCGAACGATTTTTCATGGAAACTAAAATGTTACTTACAGGTCGTACTGAACTTGTAATGACAAAATGGCCTATTTTTTCGTGTTCTACTCCTTTTATTTGCTAAATAACAGTAGTTTCACTAAAATCCACATATTTCATGAGTATATCTATAAAAAAAGTCGAAAAACTGTCAATTTTTGACTATTTTTAAGGCACTTTTCATGGCTCTGATAAAAATAGTCAACAAGGTCGTAAAAATATAAAAATTTCAGTATTTGTAGTAAATTTTATGTAGATTTGGGACATTTAATTGCTTAGTAGCTTAAGTGTTTTGTTTTGGTAAGAAACAGAATTTCTCAAACCCTTGTTTTTGAACGATTTTTCATGGTAACTAATATATCACTTACAGGTCGTACTGAACTTGTAAAGCCATAATGGGCTATATTTTCCTGTTCTACACCTTTTAATTGCTAAATAACAATAATAGTTTCATCAAAATCAATGATCTGGCAAAAATCAACAAATTTGATGAGTATAATATGAATGGCAAAATATAGAAAAATTGCTAATTTTTGGCTATTTTTACAAGTTTTCAAAGCTCTTAGAAAAAATCAGCAATTATAGAGAACTTAAAGGTGTAAATAAAACAAAAACTCCAAGTAAACAGAGTCTAACAATAATATTAATATCAGAAACAAAAATATGTTATGTTAATAGACAAAAATTTATAAATTTATTGTGTGGCAATTTTTTTTTGCATCTTTTTCAAATTTTAAATAAAGTTAAACTTTTTTTATTAAGATGTTTTATTTGTTTTGGTAACGCCACTGGAGTCATTAATTTTTCCCTTGTTTTTTCGCCCGTCCCGTGTCGTCGTTTAAACCGAATAAAATTCTGTGTTAATTAGAAAAACATAACCTCACCTCGGGGGTAGCAAACGAAATTATAAACTTTGAATTAAAACTTCTTGCTGAATGATATAGTTGAAAATGTAAATGAAAAGTCTGGTAAAAAAACCTAGGTAGTAGATGTCATCTACAGACTCAAA